GATCATCGTGCACTGGAATACTTCATGACTACCAAGAAGCTGAATGCACGTCAAGCCCGCTGGGCAGAGTTCCTCTCCCGTTTCTACTTTGAGATCAAGTATCGACCAGGCAAGGCCAACCTGCTAGCAGACGCACTGAGCAGGCCTGAGCAGGTTAGAAGGCAACAGGACGGCCGTATGCAGATCCTCCTAGGACCAGAGACCCTCGACCCCCAGATCACTCCCTCTACAGACATTGCTAGCATCAACTCCTCAGAGAAAGAGAGCATTGCTGAATGCATAGTGTCTCTAAACAAGACAGCCACCTCAATTGAGCCCCTGCGGCAGCAGGCAGATGATGAGAATAGTCCCTATACAATGGAGGACAATGTGCTACGGTACAATGGAAGACTAGTGGTGCCTGTTCAGGAAAAGGAAACCCTGATAGCCAAGCTACTGCAGGAAATTCATGATCAAGCTTCAACAGCACACCCTGGAGGACGAAAGACCCTGGCCCTGGTGCAATCACGCTATTGGTGGGCCACCTGGCGGACAGACGTCCTACGCTATATTCGGAACTGCCATGTGTGCCGGATCAGTAAAATTCCAAGAGATAAGACTCCTGGTTTGCTAAAGCCATTACCAATACCAGAACGGGCATGGCAGCATATTGCAATGGACTTCATGGACGTGCCGAAAAGCAAAACAGGTTATGATGCCATTTTGGTCATAGTATGCCGGCTAAGCAAGAAGACAATCTCCATTCCAACCACCCGGGGAGTTACAGCCCAGGAGCTGGCCCGACTATTCATTCGATTCTACTATTCATACAATGGGGCGCCTGACTCAATTGTCTCTGACCGAGGCCCCCAGTTCATATCAAGCTTTTGGGATGAGTTTACACAGATCCTGGGCATAAAACTGAAACTCTCAACGGCGCATCATGCACAAACTGATGGACAGACAGAAGTGGTGAATCAATACATTGCCACCCGTCTTCGCCCCTATGTCAGTTACTACCAAGACGACTGGGATGAGTGGCTGCCCATTATAGACCATGCCTCCGCAGCTACCCCAAACGCTTCCACAGGGATCTCCCCCTTCCTCGCAGCAAATGGATATGAACCCCGAATGTCATTTGACTGGCAACCACTGGCGGAGAAATTGGACATGAATGAGAAAAGAAATCGAGAAGCAGCAAGGAGCTTCATTCACCGAATGAGAGAGATCTGGAACCAGGCGAGTAAAGGCATAAAGACAGCACAGGAACAGATGAAGAGGCAGACTGACAAGCACCATCGAGAGCCTGACTTTGCAGTAGGAGATTTTGTTTATCTAACATTGAAATCATACAAGATGGATCGACCAAGCCGTAAACTGGCAGAGCAGAATGCCGGCCCCTTCAGAATCCTGGAAAAGGTGGGCAATGCCTACAAACTGGACCTCCCCATAACAATGAAAATTCATTCAATCTTCTCCCCAGACAAGCTACGCAAGGACTCCAGAGACCCTCTACCTGGCCAGACTATCAGACCACCAGACCCAATTGAAATAGATGGTGAGAATGAATGGGAAATAGATCGTATACTGGCCAGTAGAATAAGCCGGAGCAAGCTGCAGTATCGGGTGCGCTGGAAGGGGTTTGATGAGGATTCTTCATGGTACCCCGCTCGCGACTTCAAAGGATCACCACACGCCATACGCGACTTCCATGAGGCTAACCCTACAAAAGCTGGACCCCCAAGGCGACTAGATGAGTGGCTGAAGGCATGGGAGACAGACAGCTACCTGAAGGACGAGGTTGATGACGACCTACCGGCATGAGGACATGCCTGCCCCTAGACCGGGGGGTGATGTTAGGCTCAGCGTCCGACCGAGCCCGACCGAAGGCCGGTGCCCGGTTAGACTCGACGTCGGATTAAGCTCGGCGCCCGATTAGGCCTAATCCATATCACGTGACCACACGACCATGCAGGTGGTTATAATCCACGCAGGCCCCCAGCACCCCCTTTCATCCCATCAAGCTTAGTATTTCGTTATATAGCAGTTAGCAACGCAGAGAGTCTTTCTTCTTATGCAGCTCGCATTCGCTCCCTAACAGTTATATTAACTTTAGCAATAATAATCACTTATTTCTGATATTTACACTGTATAAACTTAAAATTCACAGCTCTTTCAGATTCAGTCATCACTCTAATAGTCTCAATTATATTTATCTAAAACTCTATCTTATCAAAGTTATAAATATCATTTTTTAGAATTTTATACTTCACAATAGTGTTTCATATAAGTTTAAATCATTCACAAATAATCTCAGAATTCTCATATAAAGCTTACTAATAATTATATTTGTGTGAGAACTTGAATTTCAACTTATCATGATGTTTGACAAAGTTTCATACTCAGCATTCACTCACTATGAGTGAGGGATTGAATTCTTGACTGATAAGAAGAAGATTGATCATTTTAAATCATTCACAAATAATCTCAGAATTCACATATAAAGCTAACTAATGATCATATTTGTGTGAGAACTTGAATTTCAACTTATCATGATGTTTGACAAAGTTTCATACTCAGCATTCACTCACTGTGAGTGAGAGATTGAATTCTTGACTGATAAGAAGAAGATTGATTATTTCTCATACAGCTATAATTCAAAAAGACTGATCTTACTCATTCATAATTAAAATTCATTAAATAAGAGATTCTTTCTCTATAAGACTAAGTTTTCAGTTCTTTGAGAGAGCGTCAACATGTGCTGTATCACCATATATGTGATAAGTTAAAGTTACATAAGAGACTTCATATAGCTTTGCTACAGCTCATACACTTGAAATTTGATTATTTTTAAGTGCTTGAATGACTAAAAGAAGCCTTTCTTCCTAAGTAGAGACTTTATTTCTTTGTATGATTGACATTTGATATAGAGCATTTCTCATTGTATGAAGAGTGAGAAGTGATCCACTCACTTATATAATTCACTTACTTATTGATTATGTTAATATAATCAATAAGTGAGTCAGCTACATAAGCAAGTCAGTCACTTTTCAACTCATCTCAAAACAATATCTTTATCATCAAAAATATCAACCACATAAAGAAATAAAATCTTTACTCAGGAAGAAAGACTTCTTTTAATCATTTAAATATTTAAAAATGATTAAATTTCAAATATACAAGCTGCAGCAAAGCTGTATGATATTTTATATTTCATTTTAGATGATTGAGTATATGGTTGTACAGCATATATTAACACTTTCTCAAAGAATTAAAAACATAGTTTTATAGAGAAAAAATCTCTTATTCAATGAATTCTTATTATGAATGAGTGAGATGTGTTACTTTGAGTTGCAGCTATATGAGAAATGATTAATCTTCTTCTTATCAGTCAGAAATTCAATCCCTCATTCACAGTGAGTGAATGCTAAATATGAAACTTTGTCAAATATTATGAAAAGCTGAAATTCAAGTTCTTCTGCAAATATGATCATCAATGTGCACTATGTGGTAATTCTAAGATTATCTGTAAGTAATTTAAACTTATACAAAATATCATTGCAAAGTATGAGATTCTGAAAGATGATATTTATAACTTTGATAAGATAGAGTTTTAGATAAATGTAATTGAGACTGTTAGAGTGATGACTGAATCTGAAAGAGCTGAAAATTTCAAGTTTGTACAATGTGAAAATCAGAAATAAGTGATTATTATTGCTAAAGTTAATGCAACTGACTAAGTCTTGTATACAATGATTATTCTCAAAAAAAAGATGCATTAATTTTGCTAATATGAGACAGATGAACTATCACATCACTGAGTAATTGAAGTCAGTGAAAATGACTGAATCACTGATCAGCTGAGCTTGTACTGACTGAAAAAAATATTCAACAAAAAAACTTTATCTCAAACAAAGAATACACACTGACTGTTGATTTTAAACTGATATAAAAATCATATCTCTGTTGAATTTGATCAATTTTGCTTTGAGAATTAGATCATTACTCTGAGAATCAGATTATTACTCTCTATATATCATTTTATTTCTCTCATCTTCTTCAGTCATTGAATGTTGACTGCTTCTTCTCTTTGAAAACAGTATATAAATAACAGATGAAGAATCAAATACAGCTTAAAATTAATCATATTGATAAAAAGAAGTTTCTGACTCTATATTCTGCAGCTCAGATGCAGACTCTGACTGAGAACAACATCAAAAATGACTTCAGAGCAGTTGAATTAATTCTGTATAACTCTGAGCAGATTCTCTCATATTTTAATATAATAATACATACTCTCATTCTCTCTAAGATCTCTCACAGCTCTCAGGCCTTCTGAATCATCATCACATCACATAATATACATCAATTGGAGCAGCAGACTGAGAAGATCAAAAAATATATCAAGTGCTGTACACAGAGTCCACTCAGTTCAAGCAATCAAGCTCTGAGTCAGCTGATCAAGAAGTGTCAAATGACAATGCATAGTGCTGCTATTCTAGCAGCTGAAAACAGAGAGTTAAAAGCTGCAAATGCAAACAAAAGAAGAAGTGGAAAAGAGGCTGTACATATGTAGCTCAAGAGAGTGCTTTAGGGGTTGAAGAAGGCTTGGATTGCATACAAAGCATCAATGAATGAAAAAGAGAGGTGATTGAGGCTGCTGAGTCCTGACCACAAAAATGGGCAGCACCACAGTGTAGTGTATGTGGGATTACTGGGCATACTGCTCATATGTGCTCTAGGCATATAGAAAACAATTGATAATATAATTCTTTCTCTTTTTCTCTATGATTGAGGCATAGATGCATTCTCATCGTACAGTGGGGTGAGAAGTGGCCGACTTGCTTATGTAAGCTCCGGTACAACGGTCACTTCCGATAATTATTCGTTAACGATCAGCCAAAGCTGTTTAAATTCAAGCCACTGGATGCAAAGACGAGTCATCCCACTTCATAGTGCACAAGATAACAGTCATTGAGTTGTTGAATAACATCAGGACGTCGGATCTTGGGCTGCCCATCATGGCGGAAACTCCCCTGACAAACGGCAATGGGTCTCCACGCACCCCTAGATTGAACTCGCTCGCCCTGACTGAGGGCTCTGCAAAAACAACAACCTCAAATGAGAGGCACGGCCCGTCCGCAGACTGGGATATTCCAGAGGCATATCTACTTCCAAATGGATATCCAGATGTACGTGTTCTGATGTCTTTCCCTTATCTACAAATGTCAGCTATGATCATGTCTCTAACTTAAAACCTTTTGAATATCTCTATCTAGTATTTGCGACTTATCCTTACATCACGAGTCTACGATGTTGTCCAAGAAACGCCACTCACACATGCTGTAAATATGAGCAATCGATTAGAATGCAAAGTCCTTCTGAAACGGGAGGATCTGCTTCCAGTCTTCAGCTTCAAGCTTAGAGGTGCCTACAACAAAATGGCCCATCTAAGTCCGGAGAGAATGTGGAAAGGGGTCATTGCATGCTCTGCAGGTAAGCATTATGCCTGCATTTCTGGCTATACCATCATATCTACTTGCTCACCAGTAGTCCAGGGAACCATGCTCAAGGCGTTGCGTACTCCGCGCGAACCTTGAAAATCCCTGCTACTATCGTCATGCCCTCGGGAACCCCAGCTATCAAGCATCGAAATGTAGCGAGATTAGGTGGAACGGTCGTCCTACACGGACCTGACTTTGACTCCGCAAAGATGGAAGCTGCCAGACTTGCAAAATTATATGACCTTACAAACATTCCACCCTTCGATGACCCATACGTGATTGCAGGCCAGGGGACGTGCGGGATGGAACTGCTTCGACAGTCCAATCTGCAGAATCTTGAAGCTGTATTTTGCTGCGTAGGGGGAGGGGGGCTAATTGCCGGTGTCGGAGTTTATATTAAGCGAATTGCGCCACACGTCAAGATTATCGGGGTAGAGACACATGATGCCAATGCGATGGCTAGGTCCCTCACGGATGGTGAGAGGGTGACTCTTAAAGAGGTGGGACTGTTTGCAGATGGTGCAGCTGTGAAAGCGGTTGGCGAGGAAACCTTCCGACTATGCAGGGAGGTGGTGGATGATATTATCCAGGTTTCAACCGACGAGGCCTGCGCGGCGATCAAGGACGTTTTTGAAGATACAAGATCGATCATGGAGCCTGCTGGCGCTCTTGCTCTTGCCGGGCTCAAAAAATATGTTGCTATGAATCCCTCCCCGAACCCTAATCGAGAGCTGGTGGCTATAACATCGGGAGCGAATATGAATTTCGACAGGTTACGTTTTGTAGCTGAGCGAGCAACGTTGGGCGAGAGGAAAGAGGCGCTACTTAGCGTCACTGTCCCCGAACGTCCAGGAGCGTTTGCAAAGTTGATTGAGCTTGTCACGCCCCTTGATGTCACCGAACTCAGCTACCGCTACTCATGCCCGGAATCTGCTAATCTGTTCATTGGCCTCTCTCTATCCTCCCCGACAGGGACAGATGATTTGTCTCATATAACTCGCCAGTTACTGGCATGTGGAATGATTGCATCGGACCTAAGCGACGACGAGCTAGCCAAAACTCACATTAGATACCTTGGTGGCGGACGAAGCAACGTCGCAGAGGAAAGACTGTTCATGTTTGAATTTCCTGAACGTCCAGGAGCCCTGATGAAGTTCCTCAGGACCCTGAAACCACACCAGAATATCTCACTATTTCACTACCGCAATTATGGAAGCGACGTCGCAAAGGTTCTTGCGGGAATTCAGTGTCCAGCTGCTGAAAAGAGAGAGCTGGAGGATTTCCTGCACGATTTGGGTTACCCGTTTATAGAGTGCACTCACTCACCTGTCTACAAGACATTTTTACGAGAGTGAATTTTCTTTCAGTTATTTCGTTCATTTTAGATTCCCCCCACCTCTCCCAAAGCTTCATCCCGCGATTGATTTATGTGTTATATGGGTCTCTATTTTTTTTTTTCTTCTGCTTTTTTGGCCTCCTGGAATATGAGGTCAGGCTGGCGTTGTTGAACTGAAAAAGGGAATGGGGTGTCTGTTGTCATATTCAGCTGCACACATATGGTTAGAGAAAACATCATTGGAACTGTGCATCGGGAAGCAATATATTTTACACAATACTTTTTCCTCATAGTTTTAATTTTTGAGAAAACAAAATAGAGTATTCGAAGGTGTAACTCTCTTCAGAATGGGTCCAATGTCTGCGTGCATTCAAATTCATTTGCGGGGATGGTCACCGGAAAAACAAAAAATCCGTACACTTTTCTCGGATTCATTCCCAGTTAAATCGCAACCGCCGTATCTTCAACCCATCCTCCAAAAAGCAATTGCAAACATGAATTAATTATTTATCACACATTATACATTAACCTGCCTTTGCTTCTTTCGTTTCTCACCACCGTGTTTCTTCCAATCGACCACACCAAGAAAGACTGCCGCTAGTTTTTGGCTGACAACTCAACCCAACAATGATCCAATTCCGCACCCTCCTACCCTTCTCCTCCTCCTCCTCCATTTTTTCTCTCTTCTCCCTCCGAAAAGCTACCTCTCCGCTCTCACGCCGAGCATATGGCGCCGTCTCGTCCGGCTCACTTTGGTCCTCCAGCAGTCGATTATCCGCAAACGCTTGTCAGACGCCATGGAACCGTGTTGGGTTTTTCGCCAAGCTAAGCGGTATGTCGAGCATCGCAGTAAGAAGTATTTTTCGGACGGGTAAGGATGGCATCGCAATTTTGGGGTGGCAGGTTAGGGGTATGAAGACTCGATCGTCGGTGAAGAGGCTGTGCGATGGATGCAAGCCGGTTAGAAGAAAGAATCGGGTGTATATTATTTGGTAGGTTCATTTCCACTGTTTCTTTTATGGACGTATTTGGTTGGGCTAAGCTGATTGGAATTGGCTTCAGTTCTAAGAATCCGAAGCATAAACAGCGACAAGGGAAATAAACTTGTTTGGGTATGTGTGGGTATGATGTGATGTGGGATTAACGGAGGGGCGAGGGCTACAATGCAATTGCTATTGTGACAAAAGTGACCAGCTCCCGATACTTTGTTTGACCAGGTATGGCATGGTCTTCAGAAAATTCAGCCCTGCTCATATCCGGGTGAAGGAATTAATGAACTCTAGGCCCCTCTACGGAAAGTCGGTCCTATATCTGACCCCACCCCTTACGCAACCCTGGTAGCCTTTCCAGTTGGATACTTGGATTTTGAAATCGTATTGGATGTGGGCGCTCCATGGGGTGTAGAAATGTATTATATTATTTTTGCAATGCATGTAATTTTATCCGTTCCAATAATGCTGCTTCTACAATCCGATTACAGCAGATACCACGTTAATTGCATAACCTAACATGACCTGCAGAGGCTCCTGAGTCCTCAAAGCTATCCAACAAAACTTCAACACCATCTTCATCAGCGTCTAACCAGACTCTCATCATTTTAATCCTGATCCGGTCTCCGTATCCATTTCTCTCCGAGTTCGGGATCCGTAACTTGAACGGACTTGGCAAGCACGGTTGCTTAATAACAAATTAGTCATCTCAATATTGTCAGCGGAAAAAAGGTTTCTCAACATTTCCCCAGTACAGGTCTGCCGCGGTGTGTCTTCTCAAAGCGAATGTCAAGGCCGTCGTCACAATGAAGATTCATCCTGTTCTTCGAAAGCAAGTCATCTCCCTTTCTGGAACTCAGAGGGCATCCACTGGGCTCCAATTGGACCTCTATCGACGAGGTGCTGTCACCCTATATCTCCGAAACTTTTCCTCAGTTCCTCTGCGCAGAGTCCCAGTGACCGGACGATGGCAGCAGGTCCGATACTCCTCCGCAGCAGCCTCTGTGTAAGATTATCCCCAAATTGGCAATCATATGAAAATAACAAAAGAAGAAGAAGAAGAAGAGATGCATATTTGTGGCTATTTTTAACTTTTCGGGTCGTTCTTTTTTTTAATTCTAGGTTGGAACATGCGGCGTCCGATCCGTCCACCCTCACTCAATCTGCCATTATTGAAAATATGGACGAAGGAGAAATGAAACGATTGTCCAAAGTTCGAAATATTGGAATTGCGGTATGAAGCTACATGATGGGCTCTTATATGAGCGCCAATGATCTGGTCCACTACTGATATTTTCGTTGTCTAGGCGCATATCGACAGTGGGAAAACCACAACTACAGAGCGAGTCCTCTTTTATACCGGCCGCATCAACGCAATTCACGAGGTCCGTGGCCGAGATTCTGTTGGCGCTAAAATGGACTCCATGGACCTGGAACGTGAGAAGGGTATCACAATTCAATCAGCGGCCACCTTTTGCGATTGGGTCAGGAAAGACGGAGATAAAGCGGAGAAATTCCACATCAATTTGATTGATACGCCAGGACACATCGATTTCACTATTGAGGTTGAGAGAGCTCTGCGTGTTCTTGATGGTGCAGTCTTGATTGTCTGTGCAGTGTCGGGCGTCCAGTCGCAAACAATGACCGTGGATCGACAAATGAGGCGCTATAATGTCCCTCGAATCTCTTTTGTCAATAAAATGGATAGAATGGGTGCCAATCCTTTTAGGACAATCGATCAGATCAATCAGAAACTGAAAATCGCCGCTGCTGCAGTTCAAGTGCCTATTGGGGCGGAGGACGAATTCCAGGGTGTTGTGGATTTGATCCGCATGAAGGCTATCTACAACGAAGGTTCCAAGGGTGAAATTGTTGTTGAGAAGGACGAAATTCCAGAGGCTGTGAAAGCCATTGCCGAAGAGCGGAGGAGAATCCTTATTGAAACTTTGGCTGATGTTGATGATGAAATCGCGGAGCTTTTCCTTGAAGAAAAGGAACCTACCCAACAGCAGATCAAGACTGCTATTCGACGTGCTACAATTGCCCGGAAATTTACACCTGTATATATGGGGTCAGCTCTAGCCGATAAATCCGTTCAACCTCTGCTAGATGGCGTTTGTGATTATCTCCCGAACCCCTCCGAAATCGAGAATGTCGCCCTGGATCAAAAAAGAGAAGAAGCTCCTGTCAAACTTGTGTCTTATAACTCACTCCCATTCGTTGGTCTTGCCTTCAAACTCGAAGAGAGTAACTACGGACAACTTACCTACATTCGGGTGTATCAAGGTACACTTCGTAAGAGTTCTAACGTCTTCAACGCTAGAAATGGCAAGAGGATCAAGGTTCCGCGGATCGTACGAATGCATTCAAATGAGATGGAAGATGTCGATGAAATCCCAGCCGGCGAGATTTGCGCCGTATTTGGTGTCGACTGTGCCTCTGGAGATACTTTCACTGATGGCCAACTCGCCTACAGTATGAGCACTATGTTTGTTCCTGAACCTGTAATTTCGTTATCTATTCGGCCCAAGAACTCGAAAGACTCTGCCAACTTCTCCAAAGGTATAAATCGTTTCCAACGCGAGGACCCCACCTTCCGTGTTCACTTTGACGAGGAGAGTGAAGAGACTATTATCTCTGGTATGGGTGAATTGCACCTGGAAGTTTATGTTGAGCGTTTGCGCAGAGAGTATCGTGTCGACTGCGTTACTGGTAAACCTCAAGTCGCATATCGCGAAACGATTGGCAAAAAGACTGACTTCGACCACTTGCTCAAGAAACAAACCGGCGGTCCTGGAGACTTTGCCGGAGTTGTTGGTTGGCTGGAGCCTACTGGAACCTTGGAGCAGAACCGCTTTGAACAGAGAATCGTTGGTGGTGCGATTTCCGAGAAGTACCTCTACGCTTGCGAAAAGGGTTTCAATCTGTCTTGTGAAAAGGGACCATTGACTGGACACAAGGTTCTTGGAACTCAAATGGTCATCGTCGACGGCTCCACTCACGTTACCGATTCATCTGAAATGGCATTCAAGATTGCGACACAGCAAGCGTTCCGAAAGGCTTTCAAGGAGAGCAAACCTGAGGTTCTCGAGCCCATGATGAAAACCGTCATCACCGCCCCGGTTGAATTCCAGGGTGATGTCATTGCTCTTTTGAATAAACGTAATGCTGTTATTAATGACACCGACACTGGCATCGACGAATTTACACTTTACGCCGACTGCAGCTTGAATGGTATGTTCGGGTTCAGCACCCATCTCCGGGCTGCCACTCAAGGAAAAGGCGAATATTCCATGGAATTCAGCCACTACGAGCGGGCTCCGGGTCAACTGCAGTACGTTTTATTTCCTTTTATCCCCTCTCATAATCCCTCCCGTTGAGGTCAACTAGGCATCATATAAAATATATAATTTTGAAACTAACCATGTCTCTTTCGCATGCTATAGAAAACAGCTCATTGCCGAGTATGAAGAGGCTCAGGCCGCACGACATAAGAAATAAGCTCTTTGCGCAATTTACCCTGTCACGCACTCGATCAACATTCAATTCGCTTGGTAGTTGTTATGTAAATACCGACCTGGTGTGACTTGGTTATCGTCAAATCCCAACATATGTTACATACCACCCTGCGAACAGACACGATCAGCATCTGTTGCAACAACCGCAGCAGCATCTTATACCTCTCAGATGATTCATCTAATCTTCCACCCTCACCGACATCAAGCACTGACCGCTGTTCCGAAACCCCTTCTAAAATAGATTCCCATTCTCAACTCCTGTCTTCAAAACTAACGTTGTTAAAGCATTTTCATTTTCTGGAGGAGCGGTGTCTGTCTCCATTTTTTTTGTCTAGACATAAACACAATGTATAATAGGAATTTTTCCTTCATCCTGTTTAATATGATGCTCATTACGTCCATTACGTTTGGCAGGATTTGGAGAATGGGGAATACACATTGAGAGAGCTGGGTCTTCTCCAAAAAAAATTGCTTTACCTTATGTAGAACACAGAATGGTCTTGCAAATGATCAATCCAATCCTCCGGTTCCTTCAACTGAAAAATTGGTTGTCGGCTTATTCTAAGGCTTTCCATTCGGATGCCTTCATATCTTGAGAGAGATAAAACTCAAATAGTGAATATTCCCGTATACTCATCAAGTTAGAAAGGAAAGGCAAAGAAAAAATAGGGGGTAGACTTTATTATTGGTGAATCAATTGGAGAAAGGAAAACGCAGGGACAAAGCGTGAAGTATATACACGAACTTGATCCATCCTCTGAATGACTGGTCACGTTTATTGTATTTATGGAGGAATCTATGTAGGGATAACTATACCAAGCTCGCAGCATGTCTCATGGATAGGTCGTGTCCGTTATTTCTTTTCGTGGTTCTCTTATGGCTGTTAAAAGTGCGGAGTTTCGTCTGTATTATCCTATTTATCGAAAATTCGCATGATTGCGACAGTAGCTCCAGCGGTTGCGGCAACTTGGTTGTGTCCTAAAGGAAGATGATAAGCATATGGGAACAAATTTTTAAATTGGTATATGCGTAAATCGAGTGAGACTCACCTCCATATCGGACTCGTTCCCACCGTACTCTTTTGACCCTCCTCACAACAGTCTTTGCTTCAAGTTCTCTCTCCCAGACCTTCACCTGAACAACGCCATCACTTGATGCATAGTCTTGCACATGGTTTCCTAGTGCATTAGGATTGTGGCCTCCCACAACAGACTCATACAATAGCATTCCATCCTGCCACGGGATCTCAAAATCATTCGCGGCATGGACTATTGCAAGATTAAAATCTTGGTTTGCACGGGCAGAATTAGCATCGCCGGGCTGAGGATTGACGCCAGTCAGGCGTCCAAAGCGAGATGCAGAGTCCCATGAATCTACCATGTGGCTCAGGATGTAGTTTTGAAACTTGGGATATGGTAATAATGCTGAGAGTAAGGGAGGGAAGATTCCCATAGGGCTGTAGGAGGCAATGAGTGTTCGTAGGTCTGCGAAAGCCCCAAATAAGACATAACCTGCAAGTGGGTCTGGTACCGATGAAGGGTTACCGAATGTGTATCGTTCAGCGACGCCGGCTGCGACTGCGGTTCCAAGGCTTTGCCCTGCAATGGCGATGCGGGATGGGTGAATGGAAAGCGGTGGCGAGGTGAGGAAGTTGATCACTGCGAGAGAGTCGGTTATCAACCCATCTTCGGTCGGTGACCCCGTGGATAGGCCGAAGCCGCGATAGTCGAATGCGATAACGTGTACGGGATGCTCTGGAGTAGATGCTCCGAGGAAGCTACGATATATTTGGGGACGATAGCCGCTTGCAATATGAGCAGCATTTCCATGGACTACCATAAAAGCGTAAGGTTTTGATATATATGTGCGGACTTGATTACAAATGGAGAACAGGAGGAGGGTGTGAAGTCAACACGGGGTGGCATACGGTTAATAACCACTCTTGCGTTGGGATCTTCAGCCAACAGTTTGAACGTCATGGTCTTGGTCACATCTTCTGCAGGGCCGGAAGAAGCATTGGCAAGAAGCAATTCTTCATATTTTTTGCATAGATATGGAGGGAGGATGTGCCATGCGTATAGGTTCTCATTATCCGGGGTGCGAATATTGAAAGGCTGGACCTGGGATTCTGCGACTGTCAATGCAAAATAGGTGAAATCAGGGAAGAGGAGCAATGGAGGTCGTGTCACTTAAGAATCCAAAATACTCCGCATCATTGACATCCTGGATATATGTAGGGTTGAGCTTGTGCATATAGAGTGTCCTAGAGAAGAATGGGGGTGTCAGAAAAGTAATATTCAACGATTTGCTGACATTTGACTCATTACAGCGCAAATAACATACGCTCGTTGAATAGAAGTGTATGTCAATGAAAATACACCCAGGACATATACGAGGCCCGCACAAGCCAGGAACCAGTAGGCTTTCTTGAATATCGGGGCGAGTTCCATAACTCTAGGTCTTTTTAACTGTGAATTAGTAGCTGGACAGAAAATTGCAAATGCCGAGGAATGCTGTTTCGCAAACACGTCTATGAAGATGTACAGTACGAGGCCCTAATAGCCCATCCATAAGAGACCGGATGCGCTCAAGATGATAGCGGTGCACAAAAGGGACAGAGTGTTCCGCATCACAGTATCCCACGAATGAAAGATGAGTTGCAGGAACGCGACACACAAGTTAAGATGAAACAACTGATATCCAAGATCACGGCCTAAGCAATACGTACCGGATATTCAAGAACAATCAGGTAAGTAAATTGTTTAGCTCCACTTCTCAAACCCTCTTAAGGGTTACTGAACAGCCAGTCAAAGCCCTAAAACAAAAGCGATACTGGAAGGCTTTTCAAAAGAGCTTTGAGCGTGAAGTAGACTCGGCTTGAGAGGTCCAAAGAAATGCACTGCTACCTCGGACCTGAGTAGATTCCTTTTGGCTAAAATCCGATTCCACGAGTTTACATTTCTATTCTTCATTCTCAGATGGGTTGTGTTGGTTGTTCTGCAGATATCGTGAATATGCTGACATCCAATACACATCCGGAGCCGCTTGGTTGGTCACGTGGATTGCAGGTGAATCCGCTCGTCAACCATTCAGACAAAAGATATATGGACAAACCTCCTTCACATTCACCCCATCCATGGTTCGCGGTTCTTCTGGAACAACCCCATGTGCAATATCCGATGCACTTGTAAATGACTACGTACACGTTCCGATCGTGTTCCAGGCAACGCGACTGAATCGCTATGGGTGAAAAGCGGAAACTCCCTCCTCGCGGTGGGGAGTCCGCCGCCGCAAAGAGGAGGGTCTCGGAGGCGGCTCCTAAGCGGGATACAACCCCATCCAAGAGGAAGGCTTCTGCTTCTCCTACCGTCCCTCAATCGCCGGAGCCAGAGAAGAAGACTCTTCCCACAAAGATTAGTGATGGAAGCCCGCTGCCCACGCTTTCCAAGCCCCAACCAAGCTGTCCTTCATTACGGGAATATCAGTCCTACGCGGAGAGGTACGCGCTTAGCAACTCCGTCTTGCGGTTGATTTTAATGTATTCCAAGTGGGATATCCCGTGCTGATTGTTTTTCTTTTCCCTCTTTAGTGCTGTGCTGGCTGCTGCGCTTCAACGATCAAGAGTGAAATGGCTCAATGACTGCATTTTTGAGAAGTACTGGACCAAACCCTCCAAGAAGAAATTGCAGCCCCAACTGGCACAGAACCCTCCACGAGAGTCCATGAGTAAACTAGGACCTTGTAGCATCGTCATCGAACCTCACCATTTTGAAGCTATGCTCTATACCGTACGAAATCCACAAGGCCAAGCGCCGATTCAATATGCACCTCAACAACGACCCATTGTTCAATATGCGCCGCCAAACAACTTCCATCAATACCAACCCTATCCTTCCCCAGTCCAGTCACGTCAGCCTTATTCTCCGAATTCTCATACTCCTCCAGCTTCTACCCCTCCTGCCCAACGGCCACCCCCACAGCCCCCACAGAATCAGTTTGAACAACCGATTCAAAATACCCCTCCCGCTCCCGCTCAAGCATCAACTCCACATGCACGACCTGAAGGACCAACATCCCATTCGCAAAGCCGCCAGACACAAAGTCAACCCTCTCAAGCCCGCCCTTCCCAGGTAACTCCGATGCAAGACCACCCCTATAGACCGCCACCGGAGTCCCCACAGCCCGTCAAAACCAGTCCAGATCCTGTCATTCAGATGTTAGCAACTCGCGCTGCTTCTAACCCAGAGTTGAAGGCGTTAATGCGGGTTGTGGCATCGAGCAAGGCGAGCCAGGCGCAATTACGGACATTCCAGGCTCACATTGACGAGTTGAATGCGATTCTTGCTAGCAGAAAACAAGCTGAGGCTCATCATAACCCTCTTCATATAGAACCCCAGCAGCAGGGACAATCTCTCGCATCAGGCCCACCAGCGCAAAACCCAGCTCCTCCACCATCACATCAGTCTCACTCGGTTCATTCAAAGCAACCAAGCGTTCCCAACCCCCCCCCACCTGCTCGCGCTTCTTCGTCCTCATATACTACATACGGACATCAGCCACCTGCACAACCGATCCGATCTAAAAATACCCAACAACACCCGCCGCAGAATACCCACTTTCACCAACATTCATCATCTCAACCTCCCCAGAAAGTAGATCCAAAGGCAGTTGTATTTGAGTTTCTGGCACCAACTCCAGCCGGTAATCATTCTAGTCATTCAACGACTGGGGATAGATATCTCTTCCCCGCAAATACCATCCTTGACTATTTCCCCGGCGGCACAACCGTCATCGCATCATTTCTTGTTATAAAGAAGATTGATCCTTCTGCTCCCCCGCCCAATTCGTCGAATAGTGCTGCTGGAGGGAAAGGAAAATCCAAAAAGTCCAAGCTGGCTTCGGCAACCGAAACTCCAGCCCCCACGGATACATCAATCAATAATAACACCCCTGTGCCGCATCAAGGAACTCCCAATCCAGAAACCCAACTTCCTCAACCTGATAAACACATTGCCGCTAAGCCCGAAGCACAAACGACAACAACAACATCAACAACAGAAGGAAAGCCTCCCCCAAAACCTAAAATAAAGGAATATTACCAACCCGTAACCATGCGTCTACGCGCCAACAATCCACGCACTCTCGAACCCTTGGCTCGCGTTGTCAACCCGCCTGCCGAAGTCCGTCAATACATGAACGATATAATGGACCGCATGGAGCGAGCTGATATCGAATATCTCGCCCTGCGCTTGCCGCACGAAGGTTCCACTCAAAATGGTTCTGGTAATGAACCAGCGCAGCTCATAGGAGACCAGCAAGCATGTGGTGTTGGGAGCAAAAGCAAGGGCCGTGGGGACAGCGGGCCGGAAAATGGCGTGGCTGTCAAACAGGAGGATGGTGGTAATATTTTACCTAATCAAGGGGATGATGTTGAGGCTGTGGAGGTTGAAGAGAAACTGAAGGAGTTTTATGATATGCCTAGTGGGATTGTGCCGTTCCGGTGAAGCTCGTTTGATGAGATTCGAGCGCAGGGAAGGTATCCATCCTATCCATCCCATTGATTCCCTTATTTTGTTTCTCATTGAATTATGGGAGTGTGGAGACACGATGTATTATATGCAGTATTAATTTTTTATTTAAATTATCTGCCTTTTTTTCATCTTGGTTGTTTCTTTCCATTCTGGATTGCGTGGGGACGTGCCTGGGCACCAACATCCGCCCTATCCATAGATCTTCAAGGGAAAAGCACACGACTGCTGAGAGGGGGAATTTGCTGACAGTTCACCGTCATATCATCGACGCTGCAGGTTCTCTTAGCGTGACTCCGTAGGGATGGTATGATTTTCGGGACTTTTAGAGAATAGAATGGCTACTCATAGCATTGATATATCGGAGAAAGGTAGCCATTAAAAACCGCCAATACTGCTGATCTTTGAAGGGAATTCTTTCTCGCAACAAAGTATCCCATATATTTATTTTACGGGTCAAAAAGTGAATTGTGTAAAAAATGAATGGTACAAGTAGAAGGGGAAAGAACCTTTTTCACATCATACGCAGGCAGGAAGAAAACGTTATCAGTTTTAAGCTGACAGCTGAAAGAGGGGAAATGGGAAACTCAAGAGGAAACACTCTGGGAATGCAAAACAACAATAAAATAAAATTTGGGCCTGCCACATACACTCATTTCGCATCGATCATTAGAAAATCAGTAACCTTGAAAAGAAAACAAAGCCACTGCCAGCACCTCTCCTAACCAATCGAATCCATCTCCCTACCTCAAGTGCCTTAACCCCGAATATTGGGAATCCCCAACAATCCCGGCCATTTCGAGCAGCGCCCTACCAGAGTGCTCCTCTAATTCCCCAACGCCCACTTTCATATTAATCACCTTTCTGCGTTCCGCTTCTCGCGCCTCAAAATCCCATTGTGCGCGCTGCTGAGTGATAGCGTCTTGTTTCTCGACAAAGGAACCAGGTGAATCAAGTTGCACGCTGAGGGATTGAGAGGGAATAATGCCCCACACCTCGAGGCTGTAAATCGAGATGGATTTTGTGGTGTTATGGTTTGAGGCAGATATGGACGCTGTTGATGCTGCTAGGGTTGTGCAGGAGACGCTTTTGCTGGCGCTGTGGGCTGAAATTCCTGGTGGGAGAAATACGCCTTCCCCGTTGAGGCCATCAGATATCACCAAAGTGGCAACTTCCAGGGCGGGGTCGATGAGGAGACTGCCGCCGCCGCTGGGTTTGGGAAGAAAATCAGCTCCCAGGGATTTTCGGGAGGGTGGGGGGATTTGGCAGCCAATAGCTATGCCAGTTTTGGTGGAGAAGTAGGTTATGGGCATGTTTGGTTTAAGAGAGGAGAGGGAAGGGGAACCCTGGAGGACGGTGTGAACTGGGGATAGCTCGAAGAGACAGGGAAGTGTTGATTGATCGGGAACATCAGACGACCTCCGGGAGGAATTCGATGAGGATTGTTTCCAGGGTTGGGGAAGATAAGCTCCAATGGTGGTTATTTGTTCTTCGTCAGATTCTGATGTCACTACGCCTTTGATTAAAAGTATACTCGGGGCTTGCCATGTCATGACATGGTGGGAGAAGGACGTTAACGATTCGCCATGTTCTGTCGAAGAGAAGACAGGATGGAGTCGCGTCCGATTGCGGAAGATGTTCGGAATTTGAGCAGTGGTCGAAAGGAAGAATGATAGATGGGACAAGAGGGTTGGGTTTAGAATGGAGGAGTCAAACCCACCATTTAAGATAACGGGGGATAGGGGAGGGGACGATGGAGGAGTTGAAGGTGGTGTTGGAACTGGCTTAGCTGCAGGGTCATTCTGGGACTGGGAATGTCGTTTTCTAGTGACGTCGAGATTTTTACTAAACAGGAGATGCTCAAATAGAGGGGTCAAGGGGTCGAATAGGTACGGGAGAGAGGTTGATATCAATTCGGAAAATGATTTATACCCAATGCCACCCTCTAAATCGTCCAAGGCCAACGCAGCAAGAATGCTTTCTACCTGTTCATTTACCGTCTCTAGAATTGAACTGCTTAACCCCGTCGTATATTTCGAAATTGTTCCCAGCGGTCGAAGTGGAGCTGTGACCATGAGAAATGCTAATAGTCGCCGGAAGGTATTTATAGAAATCTTCGACTCATAGACAGTTTTATCAATCCGTTGATCGTGTTTGAAAATCTCAATCGCATCTAGTGATTCCAGGGCCGCAAGAGCCAGGTCATCATCATCTTCCTCTCCATCATCGTCATGAGCAGGTTTATCGACGGAAAATCCCGTAGGATGCGTGAAGGTGCGATCAGAGCCAGGGCCAGCCTCGCCAATCAACTCCAACGAGTCTTCTGCGGCTTCTTGGAGTTGAACAACGATATCCCTCCGCCCAACATCCGCCAGACTGCCGAAAAGTAGTTTTACTCGATCCTTTCTCCCTCGTTTCAAAACTTTCCCATATCTTTCGGTAAGAAGCACAATCACTTTTACCATAGCTTCGAATGTTAATACGCTTGGTGCCATGGTGTTGTGAAATGGAAACGCCCCAAGGTATGACACCATGCGAAAGATGACGGGTCCAGCATCGAGAGATCCATCACTGGTAACATATGCTGCCGACCCTGCGCCATCGGGGATACCCAAGAATTCTGATAATATTTCCTCATTCCAATAGCGAATGCCTCCTTGGTCTAGGGCCCGAGAGAAGAAGTTGTCTTTCAGATGGGTAAGTTCAAGTGGGGTGAAGCATTTGTTTGCGAAGCGGTATGCCAGACGTTTGCTCAATTCCTCGACTATAAAGTTTGTTTGAACAGTTAACATGCTGCCAACATCCCTACCCACTCCGGTCATAAACAACATATGAATTTCAGAAGTAAATCAAACGGGAATGTGGAGGCATGCGGTGACCAGACAATAGGAACAAGAGAGCTAACCGGAGGTTGTTTTCTGGCCCGGGCCGTTGGTTGACTGAGAAGCACCCATTGTTTGCACAATAGGAGCAGTATACAGAGTCAATTTCAAATTATAGAAATACAAGGGGTTTCATTGGATTAAGATCTGCCCTCCCATCCGGCAAGCTGTAAGAAACTCGTGTGTCGACACCAGATAGGTACCTGGTGGGTAGAAACAAGATTAGATAAGGATTATGCAGCTCATCGGAGAGCAAAGGAAGCAGGACAGCTCGGCATATGCGCAGTGGAGGATGTGTCGCTCTACAGGGATACTCTGGCCACACAAGCTCGACACAGCAGGAGGTTCACACAGAGAGATATATAAACAATACTTGTATCCCAATGCCAGGTTGGGATAATTCTTGATCCCAAACCTCAAATAGGCGCTTACGTGATGAAATAGAGGCAAATAAGGAACCACGTGATGTCGGATGAATGTTTATGCCCGCAAACTGGTCTTGGCTAAAACGTGGCTGTGTAATTTTAGGCGCAAGTGAGAATCTCGAACCAATGAGTATTGGGGTAGGTATCGAAAAGAAGCGATCAATTGATTGACAAATTGACGAATTGTTGGGTTTATTTGCCTCTACCTGGGTAAAATGGGGCGACAGTTTGGATATCGGAAATGCACATTTTGATAATAACCATTGGCTTGTAGAAAGGAAACTCCCAGAGCCAGATCCATGCAAATTTTTTCCCACCTGGTTACACCATCCACTATAGTCCAACCTAATGCGGTTCATTTTTATGCCATGTCATTGTAATATGCAGGCCCCACAGGCACTCTGAATCAGCATCCACCATTTCCTCATACGGCCCTGTCATGTCCTTCATTTTCAATCTTGCACCCCAACCACGCCTCAGCTCAGACAAGGATGACACCAACACCACCACGGTTCCGCGGGTCGGGGAGGTTCTTCTCGTTCACTCCTCCAGGAATGGGTGCAGTCCTGTAGTTAAATAAATAGTAGTGGAGCTGGCCATCTCCAGCGCCAAACTTGAGTGTTTCAAGGAAAAGTGGATTGTCGTGCAGAGTCAAGGCGTTGAAGACGTCAAAATTTTCCTGTTCCCAATTTGTTAGAATTATGGTCATTGAAAAAGTTAATATATTCTGAGATGAAATCACCTTCTTAGCAAGAATCAACACGTCATTCACGATCAGCTGCAACCTTTCCTTAAGTCCCTTTTCTTTCTCCGCAAATGCAGACTCCGTCGCATAGTAGTAGAGATAAGCCGCTCTGATATTGCCATGTTTCGGGTTTTGGAGGACGGTGGATTCCAACGAGTAGAATGAGACGAAGTCTGTGATTTTATTTGTTTCTGGATCCTCAACGACATAGCTCCATACAACCTGTTCCGTGTCGGGTTTCTCTTTATGGAGCAGTAAATGATCTACTTCTTCTCGGCTGAGAATCTGTGAAAGCGCAAATCGTCGGAGATATCGATTCAACAAATCGTGGACGGCGTCAATGTCCTTGCGTTCCATTGGTCGTAGACCTGTTGTGGAAGTGCTGCTTGGTAGGTGGTTCCTCGTGACCTGTCTTGCTTTGGTCGAGCCAACCGGCAGGGGCGAGAAGCCAACTTCGTACAGCTTCAGCCAGTTTAGGGACCGGTGATAATATCGGCATGCGCTGACTGGTGTTGGCAACATGATGCCTACTGTATATATAGCCTGGTAGATACCTTTCAGATAACAACGCCGGGTGATTTCTTTGATGAGGACCGGTGTAAGTCTTTTTGCCCGAAGTTTCTTATGTATGCAGAGAAAGTTGATTTCAGTGACTTTCAGATGATTGCCGCGCACTACAATGTCGGCAGGGATACCGCATATAGACGCAACGAGCTTTCGAGACTTGGTAGCTCTGACACCGACATGCCATTCTTTCTTCCACCCGGGTGCTTTTAGGGCCCTTGAAGTCATGTTAGCATCATCACATCAGTTTTCAACAGCGGGAAGGGAACCAGATAACTACGCACCAATTCAGGAAGTCACGCGAATAGTTAAATCTGAACATAGCACTACCATCCTCCACATAGTGGTTGGCCAATAATTGATATAGTTCCTTCAGTTCCTCCTCATCATCTATATCCAGCGTCACCCATTCGAACCCCTCAAGAAGAGCATCGGGCTCCTTCGAAACCTTATCAGGATCAATTACTTTGATTGGGCCGTCGGGTTCTTTGCTCTCCCTGTCCTCGAACCTGATAACTGGTTGTGTTTGCCAGAATTTAAATGATGCCATGTCCTTTTGATTCCTTGGATTCACAGATAGACCAGTAAGGAAATCCGAAATGTTCATCTGGCGCAGTACTTCTGTTGCCTTTTCCCTATCCATACCAGCGAGCTCACTTCGCAGGGCCGGGTTGAGCTCTAATAATGATTCTGTCATGCTGGGTGTAAGTTTTGCGGCAGGATTTGTGATGGTAACATTATCATTCTGTGATTTGTTTTTCTCCTTCTCTCTCTTTCCTGGAGACTTATTAGTTGTTTGCTTGCTTCTGGCGACGTGGTGGGTGAGGTACCATCTGCATCACTAATTCCCACGATCTTCTTATCCTCTTGTTCTGGCATGTCTGTTGAGAAATCCAATTTCCAGCGAAAGGTTGGTCAGGGCTCTGGAACAGTTAGGGTGCTACCAGAGGGTGGGACGGACGCCAGATAAACGGGTAAACTGGCGCGGACCGCTGCGTTTGATATATCGAGTGGGAGATGGTTGGCGGGGATAACTAGTTAGTTTTAACTAGTTAGCCGCCCGCCTGGGAAGCTTTGTCAGCCAGCACATAAACCGTAATTTCCAAGCGATCGGGCAACCAACTAATTCTTTAAACATCTAGAAATTTTTCACAAACCATATCAGCAGATGAATAGGATTAGAAATCTTATGAGATAGAAGCTTGAAAGCTCTTCTCACAGTCTAAGAGAAGAGTTTAGATCAAATTATCAAGATCTGCAAGTATAAAATGATCAATCACGACTAGTTATTATGAAGAAGCAAGATCAAGATCTATTCATGAATGAGAAAGAGAAGCGAAAGCATTTGAGATCTAGCTGTTGAATTCAATGTGAAGGAGATGCTGAGCCTGTTGAACAGTTTGTCATTAAACCACCTCTGCCAGCAGAAGAGCCTAGGCCATACGTATGAGTGCCGCAGAGGTGCAGCAATTGTAACGCACGCATACAAGAATAAGATGTCCTGAACCTAGTTTGATTTAATTTAATAAAAAGTGGTAGTTAAGTGTAGATATTTCAGGTTAAAAATCTAAGTTTGAAATGGCTCGAATTCAGGCACCACGTTAAATCACTGTTGTCGCTTATTGTATCCATACGGCGGGTTCGATTCCACTGTCCTATATGTATGCTTGCGATCTGAAGTAATTTTGATAAAGCAAGGAATTGGTCATATCGGGATCTTAAACACATTACGGGATTTGTTGGTGTACATGGAAAGACATGTTGCCCTTTCAGACGCAGGATACGCCTCTCCTGACCATAATTGGGCGCAGAAACTGTTCATCTCTCATACTACATATTATATAAGGTGTGCGGTATAGGAGTGAAAAGAGAAAAGAGCATTATCCTATGAAGTAACAAGCACCCCGCATTGCGCCAAAAGTGTTGCAGTTGAGCTATCATGAAAGAAACGACGCGAAAATAAGGGATATTTGTTGAAAACGCTTCACAGGGAGGTAACAGAAGGAGATTATACACTCATATGCCCCGCTTCCTTCACAGATTTTTTTTTTTTTTTTTTTTTTGGTGATAAACTAAACGATAGTCAAATAGGAAAAGAATGAGTTCTCGTCAAGCCTACGTGGTTTCCAAGACCTCCAAAAGTCCACCAGCAAGATGCAAACTGCCCGTGACAAGTACAGAGACTGCAACTTCATCACCAGTAGCATCATCTCCTTCCCGGCTCTTAGCCTCCGCCTTTGCAATCTCTCTGACAACATCCACCGCTTCTTCGATGGTAGATTTCGTCAGCACATCGGTTAATGGAGATACCTCCTTCCATGCCTGCGCTAGCGCCTTTTGGACTCTGAGCGATGCCACCTCTGATGAGTTGGCGTTCATACTAACGAGGTCGGGTCGGTATCCGGATTGCTTGAAGGTGACATTTGTGCAGAAGATAGCGTGGGTGAAAGTAAGGTTTGCGGAGTAGAGGGAGAGAGTATTATGGAGGGCGCGGGCGAGGCCAACGCTGTCCCTGGTTTGTTGGTTGAAAATGAGGATGAGGGGTTTGGGCCTTGAGTTCCCTAGCGAATGCAGCAGTGAGGCCTGTTCGGAGGCGAACCATTTCCCCGTTGCTGCTATGCTGTCCAGCGTGTGGCCGCCGTCAATGTGCCAGGCGATATTCTTCTCAAGGCGCGTTTCGCAGCGACCACCTAGCTGGGTGGTTTCGAGACCTTTTTTAAACTTTTCGGGCAGTGGGGAGCTGTTGATATCGACGGGCAGCTCTTCCAGGCCCCTTGATCTCAGAAAGGAGCCGGCAATGGAAACAGCTAGGTTTGCGTTTTTGTATTGGAATTCCCCTGAAAGGCCCAATCGTATGGCGGCTGGAGCAAGAGGTGTCAGCTCAGGGTGGCTTGTTACGACATGAAGCTCTGAGACCTTCTCCACAGCTCGATTTTGTAGCACGGTCATTGCACCTTCTGGCTGTGGAACAGTAAATGCCTTGGTACCAGGTTTCATGATACCCGCCTTATTCCAGGCGATTTCCTCAATGGTGTTACCCAGGATGGATTGATGGTCGAGCCCCAAGCTTGTTATTCCCGTCACAACCGGCATATCAATTATATTTGTACTATCATATTCGCCGCCAATGCCACACTCGATAATTGCAGCATCCACTCCTTCGCACATATATGTATGAAAGGCCATAAGTGTCAGGAAGCGGAAATAGGCAGGTTTCCCGGCGGGATCCTTGGGATCGTTACCTGACGCAGCAGCTGATGCTTCCAGTTTATCCCATACCTCAAAGAAGTATTTCGCAAACTGTTGTTCGGAGAGGGGATCGTTGTTGATCTTGATGCGCTCGCGGACGAATCGAAGATGCGGGGATGTGTATAGCCCGACTTTCGAGATCGTTGGTGGGCGGGCATCCACTGAGGATTCAGATGATATTGGTAGGTATTGGTTTAGGATCGAAGATATGAATGTGCAGGTTGATCCTTTCCCTTTTGTTCCAGCGATGTGAATAATATTCAATCGGTTAAATTCAGATGGCTGCGATTCCGAGCGAGTTAGTATTATTCATCATCTAGGTATTTCGACTAATAGGACCCATGAAAATTGAATGCGCAAACGGTTTGACGATAATAGGAGTACTATTGCGAAGGCACCATGGGATGAGATGGGATATGAATAGTAGAATCGGCAAAGGGTGACCGCACACCTGATATCCTATCTTCTGGCACCACTGGATCATCTCAGGTATCGCTTGACGATTCCTATTCGAACCTCTTGTTCTGACAGCATTAATCGTGGAAAAATTTGACTGTAGAGAGTTGAGAGCTGCGATCGCATCCTATACATAATCGTTCATTAGTTCTTGTTCCCTTCCCCCCCCCCCCCCCTCCTCTTTTTTTTTTTTTTTTTTTTTTGAAGTTTGTGAGCCAATCAATCGGTGGCATCAGTAGATTGATATCGCAGGAGGCTTTTGCGGGAAATGGACTAACCTCATAGCTGCGAGCCATTTTCGCAAAGTTCCTGGCGAAGCACCGTGCCGGGACTTGAACCTTTAAAATTTTGAAATTCAGTTTCCCTCTGGAGGGCATGCCCATTAGAGTCGTCAGAATGTGCTTACGAAGGTTCAGGGAGATGGACTGCGGGTTGGTGAAATTTTTTTGATAGCGGTTGGTAGAGTGCTGCTGCTGCGGCTTGGCATTGACAGGACCAGGGGCCTTGCTGGATGGACGACGAATTTCTGCGGAATTTGAGTAATTACTGACTAGGGAGTCTTTTGGAGCATATAACAAGAAATAAGCTCAAGTGAGGTGGAAAGTATTAGGTGTAGAAATACTGTCGAAGAATTAATCAAGACCTCCTCTTGGACTGAAGGAAGTACCAATGAGTTAACAAAAATCTGCGCAAAAACTGAGTACCTATCTTAGTCGGTATCTCGCCTAAATAAAAGTAACAATTAAACTAATGAGCTTTCACCAAAGGGGTTGTCGTACAATGAACAGCGCTAGGAGGGGATTAATTGAAGAACACGCGGGCAAATGAGTACAAGAGCTGGAAACGAATATATAGGACTCTAAAGTCAAATGAACAAAAGAAAGAAAGAAAGAAGCAAAGAAATAGGTATGGATTAAAAATAGTTTAAAGGTGCGTTCAACAGAAAGTAAGCTCTATTCAATCCTTTTCTTCCCTTCCTCCATATATCCCACCCGCGCATTGCTGAATCCACGATGGTGTCTTCCCGCCGCGGGGACGAATTTCCCAAAGAGTTTGTCATTATGGGCGTGCGCGAGGGCATCCAGGCAACCCTCTATTGCTGCTGCCGGGGTATTTAATTTAGGCCAGTTAACCTGTTACAAAAGCAAAAAGAGAGTGTTAGCAACATGTATCTTCTTCGCGAAGGTGTAGAAGTACTCCTGAGTTAAACTTACATAAAGCATCCCATGGGCATATACAAATCGCAAACACCATACCGCAACGGCTAACCAGAATACGAAGAATAACCTCAATGGCCAGGCTGCAGAGTCTGGAAGACGACGACTGAAGGTAGCCACGACAATCATGAAGATGCTTGCACCCAGTATATATGGAACTGACTGGATAATTATTGGCCTTCGATCTGCCAACCGGAGACTGCCACCAGACGTAGAATCAGAGAGGAGATAGGCACCAAGGAAAAGGTCAAAAGCGTCTTGCCTTGGGCCATCGAAGAAGTTGTTCCGGATATATCTGAGGAGTGAGTTCCTGCCATCTTGAAGCATACCGGCCTTTGTCCGCTCTCCAGTTCGTGTAAAATCAGTCTTCAAAGCCCCAGTGCCTGAATACAACTTGGAGACAACGTCCGCGTTATCCGCCCACATATTGCGGAATAGGAATTCGAACATTGGGTCATCACTGGCTGACTCTCCTGGTTGAAGAACGCCGACGTCGACGAATTGGCGTGTCAGAGTCCATCGAGCTAGCATACTCTGCACCACGTTCGTTCGATCTAGACAGTCCATGCAGTTTGTGCGTACGACACTGGTTTGAAGGGTTCGGATATCCAATGGACCGGAGCTGTTGCCTGGTGCTTCGATTCCTCGGAAATACTGACCTTTTATTAACCCGTCGGTTAGACGGGTCAGTAAAAGTTCAGCACGGTGCCATTTTAAACCCTTTGTCTCGTTATGGAAGTCAAAGTATACGTAGTGAAGACGATCCATTTCCTGGGTATGCCGGGTCGGCTCCACAGTGTGTAGTTTCTCGGGGGGCAAGGCGTCAGCGTCTGTTTTCTCAGTGGAGGATGTGAGTAACGTGTGTATCAACTGCTCGTATGCGTTTTTAACCTTCTCTTCTCTTCCCTTCTGGTTCACTAGGTTGACAAGGTAGTTGTCGCCATAAATCCGGATTTGTTCGGTGAAGTGCCTTCGTGCAGCATTCAGTGCGACATCCACAGAACGAACTTGCAGATGAGGAGTGTAATGTAAATTGCTAATCTCTGTCCAGTAAACCGGGACGCTGCCTCTAGTTTGCACGAAGGATAGCACCTGAAGGTCTTTCCCAGCATTCTCTTCCACTTTCCCGTTACCCATTCCAGAACCCCCGAACCCTGCCATGCCACCAGTGGCATCGTTCAGGATAACAACCTGCTCGGTTTCGTTATAGTTTGAAACATTTCCCTGCTCATTGATTCCGCGTGAAAAGTATCGGGTGCCAGCCCGATGTCTGGATCTTCGGGTTATCAGCGCGAAGGTGAACGGTGTAGATTTGATTTTGGTGGCAGTTATGTTCATCATTCCGAAAATGACGGGCAGTATGAATGGATCGACATCTGAGAGCTGACCATATCGCACGCCTGTTCCATCGCTCACCCCCGATCGAAAGTCTATTAAATCTGTTTGGATGAATCTGTTCCAGAAGAACCGGTCGTCTGCTCGTTTCCACATGGGGAGGGAGGGATCGCTTTGCGATTGGCGCTGGAAACTGTTGGTAATGTCCAAGGAGTATGAGAAGTATATTGGCGCCGCGCGGAGAAACTGTTTGAGTAAATTAAGGTATGCATCTTCGTCGGGGTCATGGAGGGGTCTCTCTCGTAGGGGGAGAAATTCCGTCGCAACAGCTTTGTAAACCATATGACCTCGCAATCTGCCCATGGGTCGTGTCTTCGAAATCACAATGATATACTTGTCTAATTGATAAGTTAGCGCAAGCACCCAGCAAAAGAGTATCCTTCGTCCTATATTATTAATAATATGACTAACTGGAACTCACCCAGCTTCAGTTTGATGATGCCTAGGATTCCAGCGATGCTTGAGACGCGTTTTGCGCCATGGGCGGAAGCATTCTCCAGTCGCAGCTCTCCTGTTGGGCGCTCAACAACGAGCGTGGGCGCAGAGGCCGAAGAAGGAGAGCAAAAGGCATAGTGAGATGGTGAAACCAGCAGATTAATATCGCGGAATGGGAGCGACGTGGACATCGTGACTGACATGCTTGACGGGAAGAGAAGAGGGGAATATTTTGTAGCTCAATTTGCAGGGCAGTGATTTTAACTATATTGCCGCAGAAATTTACGCATAATGCAGGGAAACCAATGGACAAGCAATGCGATCCCCTGTTTTTCTCGTTAATGGTCTAATCTAAAATTCTATGTTGCTGATAGAAAGAGTGAAATTGGAGTTGCTGTGCACTGCGTGTGCTGCGAAACCCTTTATTATTTAAGGAAATAGTTAGTTGGTTGTGGCGGTTGGCGGTGGTTGGTTGGTTGTTGGCTTTGTTTGGTGGTCGTTATGGGTGAGTGTGGCTGAAAGCAATCAGGCTGGCAAGTTGCTTCTTCACCCGGCTGGTTTTTGACGTTCGTCATCCTGGCAGAACCGACCGAGAAGCGAACCACTTCCCAAAAGCAAATGCTGCCACCATCCCGACATTTGCTCGACGCCGCATCTCCCACCTCTGTTGCTGTCTATGAACCACTCTTCCTGGCCTGAACTATCCCTTCTCTGATAGGTAACTCGCGATATTCTACAGAGGACCAGTCTCACCTCTTCCTTAACACCCTCCCCATCTCAACCGTAACTTCTCCTGTGTCATGGCTTCAAGAGCTGCAGCTGGCGCCCGTCCAGGTGCCAGGTTTGCCCAGTTCAAGCTCGTTCTGCTAGGTTGGTCTCTTTTACTGTCTCTCTCTCTCATCTTCGTTCGAGACGAATAGCTACTGATGCATGTTCCTTCTTTTAGGAGAATCCGCTGTTGGAAAGGTTCGACCCGAAACCCCGTGGTAGTTGGTTGCGGGAATGAAATGCTGACTAAGTGTTGCCTATCAGAGCTCTCTTGTCCTTCGATTTGTCAAAGTGAGTTCTGAGCAGCTTTCCTGTGCCTTGTATATAGATTAAAACATGAGGTCGGATATAAGTGTGGATGATGTGCTGATGTTTGTGTTTCAGGACCAATTTGATGACTACCGTGAATCAACAATCGGCGCAGCATTCCTTACGCAGACCATTTCCCTAGATGAAAGTACAACTGTTAAGTTCGAGATATGGGATACTGCTGGTCAAGAAAGATACAAATCTCTAGCACCAATGTATTATCGGAATGCAAACTGTGCCGTTGTTGTTTACGATATCACTCAAGCCGTATGTTTCCAATCTCTGCACCATTACATCATTTTGTTATATAGCAAGACTAACTTAGATCGTCAAAACCCATCGTTAGTCCTCCCTCGACAAAGCCAAATCGTGGGTGAAGGAGCTTCAGCGACAGGCAAACGAGAATATCATTATTGCCCTTGCCGGTAACAAACTAGACCTGGTCATGGATAGCCCGGATAAGCGTGCGATCCAGACGGCAGATGCCGAAGCCTATGCGCGTGAAGCCGGTTTGCTCTTTTTCGAAACCTCAGCCAAATCTGCGACAAACGTGCGAGAGCTGTTCACGGCTATTGCGAAGAAGCTGCCATTAGACCAGGCTGGACCGCGAAATCTACGGTCCAACCCTCGTCCAGGGGTCGATTTACGCCCAGAGGCTGCGGGGCCGCAAGCAAACAACTGCTCATGCTAGATTGAATAATTCTGTGCTAACTTCCCCCCTTCAATGTCTATCTTTCCATTCTTCCACTAGCATTCTATACGAGTATCCTACTTTCCGCCCATACATGCGACTCCAGTTTACTCCATATACAGCTTTCCTGCGCATGGTCTCTTAATAAAGGACATCTTTGCGACCCGTGACAGAGAGTGGCTGAGGGCAATGACTATCTTGCAACGTGAAAGTGTTCATTAAGGAATCACATTCGCTCTAAAGAATCAGCCGTGCTTGTGGCAGATTTTGGGTAATTCATAATATCCCTACATGTTGCCTCTTCAACTCTTTTTAACGCCCTCCCATTTCCATTCACTTTCGTCCCAAATATTGGCTTATCGTTTCAGTCAACGGCTCTGTATTCTCATTCTCATTAGACCATGTTCCCCTGATTCTTCCCGTCTTCCTTTTTGCTTCTTTTTTCTGCTTGTCATGTTTTCCCTCTTCTTCCTCGCTCGTATGCTCTCCTGCTCCTGGTGTTATTTTGGTTATCGTTTACTTTGTTCCTTATAATTTGTCTCTTCTTCATATATTCCCATTATATACAAATCATCCAACCGCTCCTGGATGTCCATTCCTCCTTTTCTGTGTATTCTTTCCGTCTCTTAGTAGCCACTTCATACTTTTGTCATTAAAGTTTACGATCAAACATGACAGTAATAGTTAGTACTTAGTAATTAGTGATCTTTGCAGTTATTTTGCAACACGAATAGTTTATAGAAACATGGTATGGCACCTGCAGCGGAGGAAGGATTACGAGTGCAAAATACCTTCTCATCACCTACCTGTCCCCTAGGCATGTATGCAATTAGTGTTGTGCAATATTTAACTGATACACTGAGTGAGATACATAGAAACCCTTCACCTTTCACGCTCTAGAACCAAATGGCCACAATAATGTACCAGACGTGAAAGCTATCAAATATCAATTTTTCCGAGTCTCATACTCCGTCGTTGATGGCTACGAACCACACATCAACGCAGAGAATCAGTTGACTGGGAACTATCCCTGCCTTCCTGAGACATTATATTTTCCATTGATTACACAGTCAAAGTATAAACTGAATATTTGGATGATACAATGGCCCTATATAAAGATACAAGATCTCCCATCAGTCCCTCTACATCCGCGTTAGTGTGGCTGGTGGCCGCCCGAATTTCCGACGTCAATTTGTGGCAAAGTAGTTAACCAACAGCTTGGTAATTAACGTAAACCGCCACACAACGCACGCCGCCACACAACGCACGCCTCTACAAGCAAGCAACCACCCAAGGAATTCCACCAATTTCTCAACCACCCATGAATTTATTTAATTTAAATTAAAAATATATATCTAGTAGAAGGAATAGATCATATAAAAATGTATAGTTAATCCAAAAATCTAGATGGAAGTCGAATAATGCGGCCACAACGTGATAATTGCGGGGTGGGCGAAGAAGGAATTGACGGCGACGTGGAGGAACTGCTAGAAGAAGTAGGTCGTAGGGAGCTTGCTGATAGGCGTGTAATTGACTGATTACCGGATTGGGAAGGTTGTATAGGGTTGGCCTGGTTAGATTTTTCGCCAGGCCCCTGGCTTCGTACGGCCTTTGTAGGGGATTTGGCTGACCTGGCTGATCTGGCGGCGGCAACGAGATTTTGATCTCTAGAAAGCTTTAACTCTCTAGTAGCTTGCTGAGCAGCTTCCTTATCAGTCTTCTTTCGCTCAGCAGCTAGTTTACGAGCAGCCACGCGAGCAGCAACCTCAGCTTTTTGTCTCTCTCGCTTCTGAGCATTAGCCAGCCTAAGAGCTCGAGTTGCAGCTTGCTTTGCAGCTTTTACAATCGCTTTCTCTTGACGTAATATATCCTGTTGAAGCTTGCCTGCTGCTTTTTCAGCAGCCTCACTAATCTTAGCAGCCTCGTCGGTCTCAAGCTGCTGACGTGCTGCCGCAATCCTAGAAGGTGAAAAGAATTGAGCAGCACGCGAATTCTCTTTATCCACAAGACCTAGAGGCTTTCCACGTTGGCGGCGCTTCTTCCCCTTTCGTAAAGCTTCGTATAGAAGCTTATTTTCATGCTGCAAAATCTCTTTTTCAAAACCTAGTCTTTCACTAGCATGAACGATTTTTCGGAACCCAGTAGAGATTCTTCGCCGTTGATTTAACTTCTTAACTGCCCGTCGCAGTCCTCGTATGGTAGTGGGTGTGACTGGCTCTGCTGTGACTGGAGTGCTTGGTCTAGCAAGCTTGCTAAGCACCCGATCTGGTGAGAGAGGATAAATGCCAGTAGCAGCAAATCCAGACTCTATATTTGACTTCGTGACAGCTTGCTTCCAGGCGTTGTGGAATAATAAAAAGAAGTTGCGTTTTTTAATGGATACACCTCCCATTGCTGAGCGTAAGAATAAATCCACCTGCTGAGAGTATGCCTTTGATAAAGGTCCAAAAATACCAACATCCAAAGGCTGCAAGCGATGAGTTGAATGAGGCGGCAGTACAGCAAGGATAATACGATTTTGATCAGCGTAGTTGATGAATTTCATATTGACATGAGAAGAATGGCCGTCAAGGATGAGCAGGCGCCAGGCTCCATTCCTAGCCTTTGTATGAGGATTAAAGACCCGTTGCAGCCAATGTAATCCATATTGATCACTGCTCCAGCCGTTCGGGGAGGCAGCAAAAAAGACCTCATGCTCTTTAGAATCAAAATCTTCTAGCCACGTATCTTGCAAATCCCCGGAGTCTGACTGATATATAAGACCTGGCGGCGTTGACCTTCCACTGGCTGATATGGCGGCTAGCAAAGAGATGAATTCTCTACTCCCATCCTGAATCGTGCCTAGCAAGCTCCCGCTCTTAAGCTGCTGTACAGAGACTATTCGCTTGCTGATTTGCATGACGCCCATAAGAAAGCCCTTCTCATCAAGATTCCACGTATTAGATGGTCGAATGTTGAATTTTTTGACCTTTTCGTCTAGCTAAGATGCTCAAGCATTAGCAACCCCTCATTAAATTGCAGGCAATGTAAATAAAAATCAATCAAATACAAGCTGGAAAAAGTGCTGAAAATACTCAGAATTATCAGCTCTCTTGCGTTTTTGATCAATTGCTCGTAAATATAGGCTTTTGATGCGATCCTTGTGGCGTTGACAAAATCTAGAGATCCAATGCTCGCCAATCGGCTCCTGAAGGATTTCTTCAACTAGATTTTGAAGAATTCGAGGTGTAGGAGGAAAGCCACGGTCCGTAAGACGATTTATATATCGAATAAGCTCTTCCTCTTGAGAGTTCGTAAGTTTCTGTCTATATAGGGAGTCGGCAGTTTCTCGAGACACTGATTTGCCCGTAACGCGTCGCATAAGCGTAGTTCGATGAATTCCGTATTTTTTTGCAACAGTAGTATAATTGCCAGCCTCTTGCGAAAGGAATTCAGCCACTGCGAGCTCTACAGCTTCTTTGGTTGGCATGTTGTAGATGATTGAAGGTGGAAGGTTGGGTTCAAAAATCGGCTTTTTGGGGCGTGCGTTGTGTGGCGGCGTGCGTTGTGTGGCGGTTTACGTTATAGCCCAAACACTAAAAACCCCGAAGACCAAATCTCAAGCAGGCCAAGCTAACAAACAATATTTGTTCATCGTTGTCTCAACTCACTCCTGCCAATTGACCATCTTTGTGACAGTGCCGCACGCCATGCTGCGCACTTCAATTGCGACGAGCCGTCAGTTGCTCTCCTCTCCAGTGTGCCCCAAGGCATCTGCACAATGGCTACGTTCCTCCAATGCTGGGCGAGCAAATACCACCACCAGGGTAAATTCAACCAGCACCGCCAATTGCTGTCAAGTGTGTTACTAACTGTAATCACACACACCACGTAGAGATATTATGCTATTCAACAAGAGCCTAATGGGGCCTTGAGAAGCTCCTTGTCCCCCAGTGCTGCAGCAGTTTCAGACGTATCCCAGAGAGCTTCAAACTCGACAAATACGAAACGTCCAAACACAAGCGACCTAAACGTACGATCACCGGCCTCTCCCTCGACTGGATCAACTCTCAAACCGGAAACCGTGCTGGTGGCGCCTGTGTCTCCTCTGCGTCAAGGTCAGAGTTCTCCCGGCTCAGCTGCACCGGCACCCGAACCTGCAGCGGCCCCACCACCATCTCCTCCTCCACCTCCACCAGCCCCTAAAACTGGACGTCTACGCAAATTCCTGCTTTATCTTTTCCTCACCACTGGGCTTGCTTATGCTGGAGGTGTCTGGTACTCCCTTCGATCGGACAACTTCTACGATTTCTTCACCGAGTATGCCCCTTATGGCGAGAACGCGGTTATTTATCTTGAAGAACGTGATTTTCGAAACCGGTTCCCAAATGCTACAAAGAAGAACAATCGCCGTGCCGTTGCGCCTAGAGATGAAGGTGCTCAGGTGACGATACCTGGCGGAAGCGGACTGTCATGGAAGGTAGCGGAGGAGCAACAAGAAGGCAGTGATATCTCCAAGAAGGGGCCGCATATGAGTGCTGTGGATAACAATAAGGCGACGAAGGATACCAAAACAGTTGAAAAGACCAAAGGTGGTGTGACCAGTAAATCACCAGCTCAGAAGGAAGAAGCAGTCAAGACCAAGCCAGCGCCAGAGGGTGTGAAAACTCAGCCTGCCAAAGTGGCGGAGACTCCAAGAGAGCCAGCCATTCCGGCAATTACCACTATCGATCATCTTGTGCTGAATACAGAAGATGAACCAGTTGTACAAGACCTGGTGAAGGTTTTCAACGATATAATTACTGTAATCAGCGCTGATGCCCCTAGCTCGTTCTCTGGACCTGTTGCCAAGGCTAAGGAGGAGCTGGAGAAGATAGGCAAACGCATCCTTGCTCTTAAGAGTGACGCTCAGGCATCAGCACAGAAGGAAATCAACGATGCACATGCCTCTTTCGACAAATCTGCGGCAAATCTTATTCGTCATATTGATGAAATGCGCGCTGAAGACGCCACTAAATTCCGTGAGGAGTTTGAGGCAGAACGGGAAAGAATTGCTCAATCATATCAGGAGAAAATCAACACGGAGCTACAGAGGGCTCATGAAGTGGCAGAACAGCGACTCCGCAATGAGCTTGTTGAACAGGCCATTGAACTCAACCGTAAATTCCTCAGTGATGTCAAGAACCTTGTCGAGCACGAGCGTGAGAGCCGCCTCAGCAAGTTGGCTGAACTAGTCTCTAGCGTTGCGGAACTGGAACGACTCACTGCCGGATGGAGCAACGTGATTGACATTAACCTGAAAACCCAACAGCTCCAGGTTGCCGTTGATGCCGTGAGGACTACGCTTGAGAATTCCAATGTCCCTCGTCCCTTCATTCGAGAATTGGCTGCAGTCAAGGAGCTTGCGTCTAACGATGAAGTTGTTAGTGCTGCCATAGACTCTATCAGCCCTGTGGCCTACCAACGCGGCATCCCATCCTCAGCTCATCTGGTTGATAGATTTCGAAGAGTAGCTACCGAAGTTCGCAAAGCAAGCCTGTTGCCTGAAAATGCTGGTATCACAAGTCATGCTGCTAGTTTCGTGTTGAACAAGGTTATGCTTAAGAAGCATGGGTCGCCTGCTGGTAATGATGTGGAGAGCACTCTCACCCGAGCTGAAAACTTCCTTGAGGAAGGTAATCTTGATGAGGCTGCTCGCGAAATGAACAGTCTAAAGGGCTGGGCTAAGTTGTTAAGTAAGGACTGGCTTGCGGATGTGCGAAGGGTCCTGGAGGTTAAACAAGCTCTCGAGGTACGTGATATAATTGATTTCCTTTCTCCCTTTCTTAAGCTAATCACATCCGTAATCCACTTTCACGCTAATGACTTTACTATTTCATTGTATGTTCTTGTTTGTAGGTTATCGAAACCGAAGCCCGTCTCCGATGCTTGCAAGTTGAATAATCATTTTAAACCCAAGCTCTACATAGGACTACCCTGGAACATCTTGTATTTCACCATATACCGTTCTTTTGTACACATAGCATCCTACCACTGCTTAGACCTAATGCCAGATATGCCGTACCTTTGTTCAACTGCTGGATCACAGCGTAAATGTGCACAAACATTTGCTTTGTCAAAGATAAATAAGTAACTAACTAATGTATTTCCCAAGCGAGCGCAACACCCAAGTGAGTGCAACACCAAAACCACTAGAGCTCAACTCATTAGATTTTAATTCAAATTATCTCAACACTACAACACTCAATTAAATTAAATTACATGCAGTTGAGAACATCTTAATATTGTATGTCTGATATTATTACAATTGCTGCAGCATTGTGGAGCTCATCAACATGGAGTAGATGCAAATAGTAAGGACTTATGGAATTGAATAACTAGCTGTTCAACAAGTGCTGCAAGCTCTGCAGGTGGTGCAGGTGAAGCTAGAAGACTTTAAACTTCTTCACTAGTTAAACCTCCTACTTTTTGTTGAATTTGGCGCTTAGATCTCTTGCATTTTTGCTTCTGTATCTCATTCATGTTGAATATATCCTGATATTACTTCTTCATAAATAGTAACACTGACTATCCCATATTTACAGATCTTGATAATTTGATCAAAATCTTTTACAAAGCCTTGAGGCTGATCTTTCACTAAGTCTTTAATCTTATTTGCCTGCCAGTATAATTGCCAAAAATTACTAGGTGTTTGAAATATTCAGAATATGGTTGAATTGCTAGAGCTGCTGTATTAGGGGGGTAAAGGTCGATAGTTGAATATCCAGCTGCTGGAGGATGTATTTAGATTGAAAGGGCACTATTTCAGCTGCTTTGAAACCATTTTGAATAGTTTGAGGCTTGAAGACTGCAGCACATGCTGCAGAATGAGTATTTAAGAAATCTATTTTCCAAATGATATTAAATTCAAGCTATATTTACTGCTGAACTAGGTCCTTATATGCTTATCTTAAAGCTGAAAAAATACTTATATCTAGTAACTGCAAAAGATATGAGGAATGAGATAGTATATAAAAACATATTATAGTATTATTCTTGTAGATTTAATTGAATTCTGGAGTAAAATAACTACCATAGTTATTCAGAATAAGAAAAATAGATCTATCAACTTTGTGAAGATTTGTTGCTAAAATAAATATCTGTTAAAGCTATCTCAGATCTATTTTATCAGTAGTTCAGTCATTTGAACTAGTATCTAGCCTCTAGTCTTCTGAAAGGCCTTTAAACTACCCTTCTAACAAGCCCTTGCTTTTGAGAATAATATAAAAAGATAAAGCTTATCTAAATACATTGACTGACTTAATTACAATTATTTATTTATAATTTCTAGATTAAAGAAGCTTTGCTCTGCTGTAGCACTTATTACTAGTAATAATATTAATAGTAATACAAACTCTCTTAGCAAATTTAGTCTCTTCAAAGTTGTATATATCTTCTGATAGAATATTATGCTCAGTAATTATATCTCTCAAGATTTTAAATCAATCATATATAATCTACTAATCTTCATACTTAGCTCATTCATGATTATAGCATTTAAAATAGTAGCTTTAGAGCTATAAACAGTATACTACTAGATTTGACACTCAGTTCTTGCTAATGCAGAGGGGGGGGGGGAGGGGAAGGTGGTAGAGATGATTGAATTCTATATGTAAGAAGATAATTAGCTGTATCCTCAATCAATGATGACTGTAGAGAAAATCTTTATTTAATCTAGTTTAGTACTTATTCAACTAGCTTATCTTCCTCAGCAAGAGATAATTTATATGAATTTGCATATAAATTCATTTTTAATTGCTAGTCATTTCAGTCAATAGGTTAAAATAAAATAAAAGATATTAAATAAGTAAGTAGCTTTATGAATTGAAGTAATTTCTTTATTTTAAAGGCTTTTATTATAAGCTTAAGTCTTCTCTCTCTTTTTAAAGAATTTAAAGCATTTTTATTATAAATTAGTAATATAATTATATATTAAGGTAAAAAAATAGTTAAATTAAAAGATATTTTAAATTGATATTACACTTCTTTAAATGTTATACTTACTTAAAAAATATATTAAATAGTTAACTAGTTAACTAACTAATGTAATTCCCAAGCAAGCAGATCACCCAAGTGAGCAAATCACCATGTTGAAATATTTTTTCATTTAATTACTCCTCCATTTTAATATATAATTATGCTATCAATTTATAGTAAAAATACTTCAAAATCTCTTGAAAGAGAAAGAAGACTTAAACTCACAATAAATGCTTTAAAAAAGCAAGAAATATCCTTAATCTGTAAAGCTATATGTGTATTTAATATATTATTCTTTACTTTAAATTATCAACTCAATGATCAGACTACTTGCATGAATCTATATATAAGTTTAATTAAATTAACCTAGGCTGAAGAGAATAGGTTAGTTGAATAGATACTAAATCAAGCTAAATAAATATTTCCCCCACAGCTGGTATTTATTAAAAATATAATTAATTATCTTCTTACTTAAAGAATTTTATCATCTCTATCACTACCCCCCCCCCCCCTTATGTTGGCAAAAACTAGGTGTCAAATCTAGTGGCACATTGTTTTGAGCTACAGACTCATTATTTCAGATGCTGTGGCGTTCCGCCCCTATTCTTCCGCCCCTATTCTTCCGCCCCTTCCTATATTAGTATCCACTCTCTATTCGCCCCTCCCTAATCCACTCAGAGGCCCTAATCTTTCCTATATTTCCTATCCTATGCAATTGCTCCTACCATATAGAGTGATTATAGTGTATATATATATAGCAGGACATCCGCCCATCTTATTAGAAGAGAATCAGACATGATTTATCCTACCTATTCGATTGCTTGTACGCATCAGATGCTATAATCATGATCAGATTAAATATGAGGATATAAAAATTATTCAAACTTGATTTAAGATCTTAAAAAATACAATTGCCAAGTATAAAATTCTGTTAAAGAATACATACAACTTTAATGAGATTGACTTTGCAATAAGACTCTATTCTCTTAAGATTATTACTAGCAGTGAGTGATACAGTCAGACAAAGCTTTTATACTCTGGAAATTAAAAATAAATAACTGTAATTATATTAGTCAATGTGTCAAAATAAACTATATTCTCATATATTCAATGTGAATGAGATAGAAATGTAAAAAGCAGAATAGATCTAGATATCAAAATCAACATGCAGTCAATTTAACTAGAAATGAAGCTCAGAATCTTATTATTCCATCTGCTGCATCTATTGAATAAACAGTTATTCAACTTTGTAAATCTTTTATCATTTGAGTTTGCATGACTTTAATGAGCTCCACAATGCTGTAGCAATTATGATACTCTTAGACACACAAGAATAAGATGTCCCCAATCTAGTGTAAATTAATTTAATTTAATTAAGTGTTGTGATGTTGAGATAATTTGATTTAAAATCTAGTGAGTTGGAATATAATGATTTTGTAATCCGCTCACTTGGGTGATCCGCTCGCTTGGGAATTACGTTAGTTAACATGTAAAGTAAACGACACCAATCCTAATACAGTTAGCGCTGTCAAACAGTACCCGTTCTTGTTGTCACTGTTTGTGCTGTTTGCACTGTTTGCATCATACCATCACCTGCTTAAACATCAACCAAGAAATCAACGAGGAAGCGCAGGAAAGACAACTCAACGTCAACCATCTATCCTGGCAGCAAGAAGCAATGGCATATGGTTTGCGATAGAGTGGGCTCTTCAACATCAGCTTCTCTCAGTAGATAGCCACATCCTATCCCCCTGCTGCGTCCAAACCATGTAAATTTCAACCGCATCATCCGCTGCAACTAATGCCTATGGCCAAACACGCAGACCTCGAGACGTCGTCCTAAACAGCTTAAGAACCTCGATGTCTCCAAAGAGCCTAGCTCCTGGTCAGAACCGGTATGCGACAACCTGATCGGCGAATGCGGGGCACTTCGGAGCCAGGTGATTTGGAGGATACCTCACTAGATAGCGGGTCAAGAGATGGAGTACACACCCACGGATCGAGGAGGCATAGGAACAACCGAACCTCCAGTTCATTTTTCTTGGAACCAGCTGTAACACCTATAAGGAGATCGGAGTCTGGCTCTGAAGGGGCTGCCTTTCTGTCCCGAACATCAGGAAGCCAGCGGAAGGGTAAAAGGACAAGCGAGGAGGCCGTGCTGGCTGTTCCGAAACGTTATGCGACGGTTGATCGCAGGCACAATACTACACACTTAGTTGGAAGCTCACCGCTGGCCACTTCAGTGACTAATACTATAAACCATGGGGACGTCTCTCACGATGAGGCGCAAATTCCTCCATCAGGATTTTCCTCCGCCATTCCATCTCTTGGAGCCCCGTCATCTATTGGTTTAGATACAGATCCAGCCCAGATAGTCAACCTAGCGCTAAATCTCAGCGAGTCGAGGAGAAGAAGTGCGTCTGGAATAGTGTCTTCTGGTACGGTTCCAAGAAATGCACGAGTGGTATCGAGAGCTGAAATACCGGGGGACATTTATCGATTCCCTCTACAAAATACGGATGTTCCACGTGCCAGTCCGCAGGACCGAAGGATCCCAAATATGTCAATCTCCGTACAGGGCGTTGGCAGGCATCCATCAGTGGCTACGCGCCATACTTCATCTTCCTCCATTGACAAATTTTCTGGATCTGCCATGACGGGTACAAACTCGACGCAACATGAATTCATGCCTTACGAGATATCGAGTGCTACACTTGCCAGAGCTGAAAAAGCTCGAAAACATTTTGAGCTTTTGGCAGAATATTTACGTTTACTCCCACATCTGCCCCCGCTACCTACTCTCAATGAAACGTCCGTTACTACTGGGAACTCGTCGGTGTTAGATCGAACATCTGGGTCCCAAGGACGGGTATACAATCCCATTCAATACATACGTAATCGCAAGGTCAGATTTCGCGAAAAATGCCCCATTGATTCCGAGGCTGGAGGATGGGATAATATCGATCAAGTACGAAGTTGGGTGGACGTAATCGCAGGGTCAGATGAAAATCTCACACATAGAGCCGAAGACCGAATTTTGCTTCCTAAGTTTGAACCTGATGACACCCCAGATAATCGGATAAAATCTGCTCCAGCGACATCTAATACTGCCCGAGTTCTTAGCGGAGGGGATGGCAGCAAGCCCCGTAGGCCCCGGATGGATTGGATTACTTCACCTGCAGACTTCCTAGCGGACGCTGCATGGCTTGAAGAGGATGGTAATAAACTTAAAATTGAAGACCGGGATGGAAATCGTCTCTTCCACCCCGATACACCTTTACGACCGGTTCCTTTAACGGGTCCAGAGTCCCTCAGTGAACCTACCCCAACAACTGAAGACCGAAATTTACGGCTGGTTGAAAGACTCCCACCACACGAGAATCTACCTCATTTCATATCCGTTTCTTCTCGTCATCATACGGGTGCGGATCGCGGACGGCACGGACACAAGATAACAGGTTCTGCCCATCTTTCATCTAGCGACCACTCATCAAGAGATGCCAGCAAATCTAGATGGCGAAAAGCGTTGTCACGTTCTTCTGTTTCGTTTAGCGAATCTAGCAATGACGAGCATGAAACACGTCGAGGAAGAAGACATTTTCCGCGACTCTCCAGGAGATCCATCGAAAATGACAATATTAGCCTTTCATCGCAGAAGATTTCGGACCCATCAAATAAAACGACGTCAAGACATATACCCCTAGATTCTATGGCCGACGATGTTGGTGACGTAATAACTAAGGATTATACAGCAACTCCGAGAGATAAATTGCAACCATCATTCCGACCATCTTTAGATACCAATTCTGGACGAGAGCAGCCCATCTCACAAGCCCGCAGGTACGTCAGATCAGCTTCATCATCTCTAGCCAGGAGTGAGCCCAGAAGGGAGGATGTTTCGTTCGCTGGAACTGTTGACGGTAGCCCCGGTTCAGGGTTCAGTCAGCGCCAGGTCCCGGATGTTACGCTTAGTGCCTCACCGCCGTCGCCAAGTATATCACCGTTGTTGCGCCTCGTTGGCACCAGGAAATTTTCGACCGGCTCAGGTCGGATAAATGGTGAACTTGAGACAGCCCTAGCTGATAATAATGCTTCTGGCTTATCCCACATTACGCACCTGGCTAGAACTGATATACCTCCGTTCAGCTCTGACACAAAGCTCTCCTCATATTCTGACGACAAAATCAGCGCAGGTGAAGCCCATCATCCGGAGAGTCCGTCCAAATGCTACAGATCCCAAAATCAACAAGAGTCAAAACTTCGGGGGATATTCAGATCTGGAAGATTGGCTGAGATTGTTGGGAATGAAGTTTCCAGAGTCGGCGATTACATTCGGAAAAAGGATGGTTCAAGCCACTCGAGGCAGTCGTCAACCGCCTCGAGTGAGCTGTTTTCTGACCATGTTGATGCGAATAGCTATTCCTTAGACGAAAAGCGTAAGCAAAAGTCGTACGTGGCTCGAATGCCTTCCGTCAGCGGTACTGTTGGTCTATCAGGAAAGAATCCCAAGATAGATGTCCTCAAATACAATACCCCCAATCTCCCCGTTTTCGCCTCTCCATTTAAGAATGATGATCAGAGCGAAGTGCAGCAAATGTCGGAAATCGGAGTTCCCATTCAGCCTAGTATCGGTTCACGACGAGTCGAGGATGACCTAGCGACTCCCAGCTATGATAACAACCTTCTGAAGCCATCTGAACCTAATTTCGACACTGATATATATGCCTCCCGAGAAGGGAACTACAGCAGCTCCGTGGCATCGAACCTAGTGCTTGCTGATACCGGAACATCCTGTGAGAATGGTAACTTCTGTCTCCAAGTCACTCGGGATCGGCTTCCAGTCACCGGTCTTACCAACTTGACGGTATTGCCTTCTGGCTCGAGGCGCCCCACAATTTCAGAGGCAACACGAAACTGGAGTATGTCATCCCGCAGTATCTCCCGTCCGCCTGTCATCGATAGACGAGAAATTGCCCGCATACGAGCCCATCTACTCTCAGCGGGCATAAAGGCTCTAGAAATATGCCGCCAAGCCGAAACTATACGCGATTCACCTCCGATTCTTGTCAATAACACTGAACTCGAACCTGATGGTAACATTCCCCGCGTCCCCCGTTCGGAAGAGGTGGCTACCGCAGCCAGAAATCTCATGTCCAGATTTGATCACGAAGTAAGCCTTGTTCAGCAATCTATGTCAAAATTCTCTTCAACCACTTCTCCTGCACTGAGGTCGCAACTAGACAGCCTAGACACCTTTGTGACCTCCACACTTAGCCCTCGCATTCGTGAAGTCACTGCCGAAGCTGAGAGGTTGACGAGCGAACTTGCTACGACAAATACCCTCGCATTGAAGCAGCTCAACGACTCCGTTGCCAACGGCTTGAGAAAACGGAGACGCAGATTCCGATGGGTGAGCCGCTTTGGCTTCGTCCTCTTGGAATGGATCCTTATCGGGGCCATGTGGTGGATGTGGTTGATTGTGATGATATTTAAGATTTTCCGGGGTGTGTGGAGGGGAACTGTTTCGGGCATCAAGTGGATTCTGTGGCTTTAGACGCTTCTGCTCTCTCTCCCTTTATATATTTATTACCTCAGGTTTCCTCAAGGGAGATACTATCCATTTTTAATTCATATATTTGTTTGAGGAATTGTTACAATTGATCGTTATTTATCTGTTCTGCATATACTAGCGTCCCAGTTCATTGCACACTTTATTGTATTTTTTATTTTCATGTATCTCAACGCGGCATCATGTTTCAATATATTCCCGGGTATGGACTAATCGTCTTGTATACATTGCATCATATTCCTTTCATACATGACTTGTCGAGAGTGGTTGTTAGCCATCCAAACCTACCATTATGATACCGCTGCATTGTGTGGAATACTTGGGCTCGTTCACTATTCCATTGTTATTCTACTCTCCTCTGATACTGTTTCATCACCCGATGAACAGTTCTTCAGAGCTTTAAAACTTCAACTCAGAACACACTTATCAAGAGGGTCATCCAAACTCAGAATTCGCTCATTGATATAGTCGCCATGTTACTTTCACCCCAATCTAAGCTATTACCTCCCATCCCAAAATTATCCACAAGAAAACCTGATAGCTTCCATGTGAAAACATTCTCCATTTATTCCAAGCTCTTCTTAGTCAAATGACTTCTTTGTTCAACCCTGAAAAGTGTTTAACACACACGAAGATCGAAACTCTCCCGACGGAAAGAAATATAAATAGGCCCTCCACACTCCTTCGCCTCTCTCAGATATTGACATCAACCAGACAGCAATATGGTGGTAGCCCAATCATCGGGGGACTACTAACAAATGGTCTGACTCCCATAGTTTCGCCGTACTAGGTTCCTGGCCCAAACAAGAATGCCCAGCCTAAGAAGCCAAAGTCATTTCCAGAGGCATGGACGTACGAAAGACGGAGAGAATGAGACTGGGGATATTCCATATTTTAATTTTTGTCTTGGGTCTGTTTGTTTGGGGATCGAGTTCAATATATATGAGGGGTGATCCCACATTTTTTTAAACAACATTACTCTATTTTCTTTCGGGAAAATAAAGTCTTTGTCGTAGAGTGTTTTCCTCTCGAGAGAGAAATAAAGATGGCGTAAATAACTGAGTGTCGAGGCACTCTCAAGCGTGGAGCAGGTTGGTATCAATGCTCATGATGACGTACAACGCAAAGGGAGAGTTGAAATGTGGAAAAAGAGGCTCTGGAAAACAGTGGTTGGTGTATCTATCTATATGGACAATAAAACTATCTAAACTAGAAATAATAATAGTAGCAAGCTGCCTGCAATGAATTAGTTCAACTGAATGCTGAAATGAAGCTATCCCACGTGGGAACCCTATACACCAAAACTCCGGGCCATTCTTTATACAAGGACCATGCATGCCTAATCGAAGGGAGGAACAATTCTTCTTATCCGGATTCTTCCCAGAGGTTGAATGTTGGATGTAATTTGTTGGGGGGATTGTCCAACGGGCTTCTTACTCCCTTCGGCCCCTGTGGTGTTTTGTGAAGCATGCGAAACACTTGCCCTTCTCTCTCGAGTGTTTTCATCTACATCTTCGGTTTGCTCCGAAGCGTTTGTAGCATCTGCCGTAACTTTCTGCGCCTCCCCTTCATTTGACGTTCGGTTGTTTGAAAAAAATCTCCGGCGTTTACCAGAAGGCATTGGGTCGGAGTAGCTAAACTTTCTTCGTATGTGCCCACCAATAAATTTGCCAAATGTCGCCGATGATTCTTGAATCCTTTCGCCCACATCTCGTATGGATTTCTGTCCGCCATGCATTCCCTTCTCGATCTTGCCCACGAGCCTGGTAATATTGCGCCTCTCTCGGAAAGGAGACATATCGGGATCGCAATTGATCATTTGTGAAGGTCTATATGCAAACACATGCCCAACATGGATGCTCTTAAAATGAAGTTCCTCAATAGCTGGTTTATCTTGTGGCATGGGTTGGTATTTGGCCTGGCGAAGGATCGCCTTTGGGACGACAACAGGACCATGGTTAAATACCAACGGTAAACTTACGGTTCTTTTAGGGGCCACTACCTTCTGGCCAGTTGCTGGCAAATCGCCGGATCCTCTGGTCGTTCTGGGATGGCGGGCAAGGTAGTCTCCGAAGTTAGCATCAAGGGTAAGGGCGCAGAGTGGGAGAAACCCTATATTGTCTTCCGTTGAAGCGAAGACAGATTCTCTCCTATCCATGTGACGGTCATATCTTGGGTAAGAAGCCCAGGTTTGATTTTCGAGTGTCAGCTTCAGACACGAAGCCCAAAAATCGCCGTATATTCTAAGGACGATGTAGGCGTCTCCTAGCCTTATGGGAAAATTATCCAGGTCGGCCATGTCCACAAGAGTGTCGCCCACACATATCACTCTGGAGCCAGTTAGAATTGCCCAGCCATTTTTCCTGCTCGCCCCAAAAGGGTATCCAACTACTCTCTTTGAAGGAAGACAGCGGATATCTCTATAAAACGTCAAGTACTTGCTTTTCGTGATTTCTTGTAGAAAAGGGGTGGGCTGCTGGTTTGATCCTGTGGCACTTCCTGTGGGGCCCCTAGACGGGGTTTTACCACTTTGGGGCCGGTGTAATCGCGACGTAGTTGGGGAGGATTGAATATTTTTAAAATGGCCATGTTCTTCCTGTTGTTCACTGGATAGCTGATAGCATCCACGGCTCTCTTTTGCATGCTGGTTAGGTAATGAAATCTCGACATTGTCAGAATCGCCAGGTATTCCGCCTTGCCGACTGAGTGACTGGTTGTCATATTGAGGCTGTTGTCTTGTAGAGGGGACTGGGCATATTTCGTGACATTCAGAATGACCACGTGTCTCCTCAAGTTCCTTGGGTGTTGAATTCTCATCTTGTGGTTGTTCTATTACTGGGGAAAGTGAAGGAGCTTTTACGATTAAAAAGTGGGCACTAGCTTCTTTCTCTTCTCGCTGGACAGGTTCATTCTTGCCAAAATAACGGCCATTGATATCGACAGGACGTGAAGGCCCGGCTTCGTCGCTACCATACAGAACTCTACGATCGGATGCAGGCGAGGTGAATCCGGCTTGGCGGTGGGATTGAAGTGGATCCGCCGGGCGGTTTGGAGGATGCGTGGACCTCGACGGGAAGTGCCTCAAGGGAATAAGGCTGGGGTTTGGGCTTGGGGTAGTGCTGCGCCTGGAGCTGGGGCTACCATCCGTGAAAGCCAATGGTTCATCTAGTACCACCACATCAGTTGCGTCCGCCCATCTGATGCTCCAGCAGCCATCTGACCCGCTGTCTTCACTGTCTGTCCCAACCACGCCCACTATTAAAGGCTCGTTAGACCAAGAGGAGGCCATCGCCTCTAGTTCGGCGTCGAAAAAAGACTCTTCAAGCGGAGGGAACATGTTATCACACATTGCAGAGGCCGGAAGCATGTTCGGCTCGCCAATAGCTCTAGGCCGCACCCCATCGGGCTGTGCGTGCGAACCAGATGAAAAGCCGTCGTCCCAAGTCGGTCCAGGATTGGAATCAGCATGATCAGAATAGGCCTCATCATGTCTGACATGGCTACCCTCAACAAGAGGTCGTATGTTCCAGACAGGAGGGCGGTGATGATATTCACCATGCCGCCTTCTTCTCGAAAGTGACCCACGGAGAGTTTCGGATCTTGGAGTGTCACCATCACTATCAAGCAGTGTCTTGGTCGGAGATGGATCCGGTACGAAAATTGTTGATTTGCCAGGGACATCAGAAGATCCTGCGCACTCTACCAACGGTTTCCATGTTGTTGACAGTTCTCGGAAGCTATTTATACAAAAGGAAGATTCGCTAGGTGTAAGAAATGGACTGGGAGCGTCATTTGCCGCGCAATGGCCGGATCCCTTCTCAGTGGGTGTTTGAGGGTCGGATTTGTCCATATGTTGGTAAAGTTGCAATGGTGTGAGAGATTGCAGAGGAAAATCAATTGCAAAGATATCATATGCTGGTATAAGCAAGCCAATGGTACGCAGCAACCATAAACGATATCCTAGATGTAATCAAGAAAAGTGAAGGGGGGAGAAGTAAGAAGAAGAAGAAGAAGAAGAAGAAGAAGAAGAAGAAGAAGAAGAGAAAAATAGAAAATGCATGACCTTAAGAGCTGGTCAAAAGGAAGGGATTTGGTTGAGCAAATGCGGGAAACCGCGCTGGATGCCAGAGGAAGGAGAGACAGATAGAAGCATCCGGTGGAGGCTTCTCCCACACGCAGCAGAACATGAGAGTGAGAGCGAGACAAACCAGCTGCATATACCTGACGGCGCTTTGGATGAGCAGGGATACCATCCGTATCAGAGGCGCGTTTCTTCAGCCGTTGGCCTTGCTGCTGCTGCTGCTGCTGCTTCTGCTGCTTCTGCTGCTGCAGATCGCCAACTGGATCAGATCACCGCGCAGCAGCTGGCAACAATCAGTTGATGATGGTTCCAGCTGCAAATAATGTGCATTGTAACCCAGCTAGCATGGGGTGCCGGGGGTGGGGGCTTTTTCAAGACTCCCTCTAGTGCTGTCTTCGGGAAGTAAATAGTGATATATTGTCGTCAACTCCAGACACAACACAAAACCCATAGGCTAAACAGCACATCAACCTCGAGAGTTTACGATTGTGCAAAACCAGCAGAACACCTCTGAGATCAGCCTCGGCTCAGCAGCATTCGATTTGATTTTGCAGCGTTTCTATGAAGCAGGAAACGGGCCATTCCCAATGACGCTGACAAATTCGTGAACCCCCCCCCCCCCCCCCCCCCCCGGCGCTCGGGTTGTCGGGCTTTATTAACAAGTACCCAGGATCCGAACACGAGTGCAATAGATGTCGAAGAACCTTGGAACTTATTCTCCAAGCCAAATCACTCGAACAGAAGAGGTCAACGATTGAGTTTAATGGTAGGTTGATAGGTTCCGGGTGCGGAAGACGGGGAAATCGGCGAAATCTCCTCCGTCTGTCAAGAGTAGACACTCTTAGTGTCCAAGAGTTAACCAATCTGTGGTTAATGGGAACCGAGAACTTGGGGTTTCATGTGGGAAGAAGAAGGTTGGGCGCAATTAAATAGTACATCGTTGGATAAATAAATATATAGTTTTACAGCTCAAACCACAAATCACCACCTCGACCGATTGACGGCATCCAAAAATTCAAAAAAGAGTAGAATATATCTCGTCCCAGCTATGCCCCCTCCCAAGATCACTCTATATCTGGACATTGTCAGTCCTTTTGCTTATATTGCATATTATGTTACCAGAGTATGTCAATTACAAGTGAGAAGGTTGCCACATATATGTTGTCATGATACATACGCATTGATACTGTGAATGATTTGCCTACACCCGACCGACATCAACAAGAATACTTCGGCAGCGTCATGCATATATATTTATTCTAAAATAACATCACTGATTCCACCTCGATAGCACTCCTCCGTCTTCGCAAAATGTGAAATGACCTATGTCCCCGTCTTCCTCGGTGGAATCTTGAAGGCATGCAACAACCCTTCGCCCATTAACATCAAAAGTACGTTTGCTCCAGCTTTCATGACTTCACTGTATTCGTTAGAAACTAACCCCTGGCTCATGCAAACAGACAAAGGCACATGGACAAACATTGAACGAAAGCGCTGGGCGAAACACCTCAATGTGCCTATGTATCCTACATTTCCTGACGGATTCCCTATTTTGACATTGAGTGTATGTCGACTTTCTCCCCTTGGAACCGTTGCTATCCTAAAATCCGGGGCAGAAACAGAACAAATGAAAACAAAAAAAAAATTGACTGATAAATTTCAAATAGGTCCAACGGGCCCTCTGCGCCATTCCAGAAGCAAAATTACCATCCTGCTTCGATGCCTTATACAGGGCGTTCTGGGTCGAAGGCAACTCAAAGATCAACAACCCAGAAACTTACCTCCCCGTTCTAGAATCTGCTGTGGGCAAGGAGATTGCCAAAGATGCGCTGGCTAAGGTACGTACACTAACCAAAAAAATAAAAATAAAAATAAAAATAAATAAATAAATAATAAAGCAAGGGGATGATGAGGGAGGTTATGTTGAAAAATTGATCTCATTCATTCTCAAAAACCGCTTTATAACTGAAAGAGATTTCAAATATTAGTCGTCTACACAAGCCATGAAGGACCGTTTGATCGCCAATAGCGACAAGGCTGTGGAAAGCGGTTCCTTTGGCCTTCCTTGGTTCGAATGTACCAACGGCCGTGGGGAGACAGAGTGTTTCTGGGGAGTTGACCATATGGGCCAGGTTGCAGCATTTTTAGACCTGGATACCACATCTGACAAGGGGTTTAAGGCTATGATGTGACAAATGAATATGAGATGGCGATTCGGGTATTCTCTCTACGAGTACTTAATAACATGAACCTATGTGTGTAGATGTATGTATGTATGTATGTATGTATGTATGTATCTGTGCCAATTTTAAAACCCTCCAGCGGCTCTAAGAAGCAGCGTCGTTATGTTTAATTTCCTCTTGATACCCTAGCAAAAATCAGCCGTCAATTCATTTGGCTTACAGTAGCCAGCGATTCGGGGAGTGATGTTTTATCGGGCCAGAAGAACTAGACAAGATAGAATAATACACACACACACACAAAAAAAAAAAAAAAGATCATTTCATCTACCATATATCCCAGGAGATATTTACATAAAATGGAGAAATGAGCAGGAAGTATGCATCGAGAAGAGGAGAAGAATGTGCAACATGAAGTAAAGCGGCACTTGTAAAAAGCTAAGAAGGTGCCGCGAAATTCAAAAGCTATTTTCCGTTTCCTTACTGCTCACATATCGGTAGACATGGAGTGTAAAGGGATGATCAATGGTGTGTAAATCTTCATCCTGCCAAAGTCAGGTGAAAATTGGAATTGGGTATCTATGACGGTGTAAGAACCAGGACTGAAGGGTGGAAGGGGGGGGGGGGGGGGGGGGGGGAAAGGGA